TGAAAGTGTAGAAAGATTTTCTTTTTCGTGTCAGGAGCAACTTGAGAAACTGCAAGTCGCTTCTGGTGTTGGAGAACTGGCTGTCTGCAAGGACATTGCCCAGGGGACGCTACCCGGATGTTTTGATGTTTGACCATTCTTGTGGGAGGCTTCTCTCATGTCCCCATAGAGGGAGCTCACCCTACACTTTCTCTCTCAACCTCATATCTATTTATCTATCTAATCTCTACACATTCTCGCTGCCTCAACTTTATCACCTGTCTATCTACACTTCCTCTCTCTCTCAACCTTAACATAGATAGGATGTGAAGGTTGAAACACAGAGAGATAGATAGAAGATAAGGTTGAGAGGAGAGCATAGAGAGAGATACATGGATAGATAGATAGATAGATAGATAGATAGATAGATAGATAGATAGATAGATAGATAGATAGAGCCTCTTTGGGCAGGAAGAGGGCAAAGGCATAATACAATATAGTAATAATTAATACTGATATTGTACTATGCTAATAATATAATATAATATAATATAATATAATATAATATAATATAATATAATTAATATAATATATATCTTGTAAGGGCAGCATATAAATGCCATAAATAAATAAATAAATAAATAAATAAATAAATAAAGGGGGTGGGAGGGAGGGTGTTGACCTGGGTGAGTTGGGAGTCCATCATCTGGGAGGCCTGTCCAAGGGCGCCCCCGTCGTAGACCAGGGCCTGGCTCCCGCTGACCGGCTGGTAGGGGGACCCCGAGGGGGTCTTGACCATCTCCAGGGGCTGCATCCCGGGGAAGGCCGAGTAGGGGGGCTTCAGCACCACCGCGTTGGGCTGCGACAGGCTCGGGTGCATGTACACCTGCGACCTGGGTAGACACACATTTCAAGAACATCACACATAATACTAATAAAAATACAATATAATATATAATAATAATAATAATAATAATAATAATAATAATAATAATAATGTATTATAATACTAATACATTCAATGTAATTACTACTGATAATATATAACAGTAAATAAAGAACAAAACTCAAACACAGGGGAACTCCAGACAAGAAACAATCAGGAACAGCTAATCACCTCTCAACGAAAGATTCCCCCAGGCAGGGAATATATAGATATAGAATGTAATATAATGTAGTATATTATAATGTAAGACATTCCTTACCTGAAGGGCTGGATGGAGCTGTAGATTTCCTGGGACTGAGAGACGGGGAGGCCCCCCCGGAGGCCCAGCTGGGCCTGCGCCTGAAGCGACGTGTGGAGCGAGAGCGGGATCTGCTGGGCGGCCTGAGAGCGGGGAGAGAAGGCACAGCAGGCATCTGGTCTCTCTCCATGCTCACAGGAGGAGAGCAAGAGAGGCTGTTCACCAAGCTCCTTGAGTGCAGCAGGAGAGCCACTGAGTTTCAGCAAGCCAAGACTTTCTTGAGGAAAGCAAAGGGCCTATCTATCCATTTATCTCTCAGGAGAAATCTTGCCTCTCCATGCTCACAGGAGGAGAACAAGAGAGGAAGTTCAGCAGGTCAGACGCTTCCTGAGCCAGCAGTAGAGACACTAGGCTTTAGCCATTGACAGGAGCAGAGACAAGCTTGAAAAGACTTTGAGGAAAGTAAAGCTCTATGTCTAGTTGGAGACATCTTGCCTCTCTCCATGCTCACAGGAAGAGAACAAAAGAGCAGATTAGAAGCTTCTTGAGCGCAGGAAGAGAGCCACTGAGCTTGAAAAGTTATGAAATACTTTCCTATACATATCTTATTTCCTATACATATCTTATTCTAATAAAATAATGTAATGTAATATAGTATAATGTATATACATATAATATTTATATTATACTGTAATGCAATATAATACTAATAATAATAATAATAATAATAATATGATATTATAATTATATACTTACATTACATGTAATATTACTAATAATTTTACAATGTAATGGTATAGTACAATATGGTAATATTTAATACTGATATTGTACTATGCAAATAATTATATATTGTATGCATATATATCTTGTAAGCCGCTCTGAGTCCCCTTCGGGGTGAGAAGGGCCGGATATAAATGTCGTAAATAAATAAATACAGTAATGTAGTTCCTCCAATAAAGTCTTTTATAACTTTTCAAGCTTGGTTCTGCTCCTGTAAATGGCTGAAGCCCATTGGCTAATGGAGTTCGTGCCCACCAAATAGGATGTTCTGCCCCACAACTCTTTGTGTTTTATGAGTTCCATTTAAACTTCCTGCTCCTATTTTATCTCATCATAGTCTGTTAATTTTTTTTTATTCGGAATATGTGGCCCGCCCATTGTCATCTCTATTGATAGTGTCTATTGAGTGTCAGCTGCATTAAGATCACTCTGACTAAAAGATCATGAGTTCGAAGCCAGCCCAGGTTGGAGTGGGTTTCCAACCAATTGTGTAGCCTGTTGTCGACCTTTGCAACCCGAAAGACAGTTGCATCTGTCAAGTAGGAAAATAAGGTACCACCTTAAAGTGTGGGGAGGCTAATTAACTGATTTATGAGGCCATAAAGAAGACTCCAGCAAAGCATTCCAGCGGGGAAGCATGCGGGAAATGCGGAAGTGCTTCATCAGCAGCGCAGATGGACGATGAAAGCGACAGCTCCCCTGGCGGCCAGAAAAAGTTAAATAGCCTCTGTGTATGTCTGTACATGTTTGTATGTCAAAAATTGGCATTGAATGTTTGCCATATATGTGTACACTGTAATCCGCCCTGAGTCCCCTGCGGGGTGAGAAGGGCAGAATATAAAAGCTGTAAATAAATCAATAATAAATATTGGAATTTTTATTTTATTTTATTATTACTATTATTATTTTATTATTTTAATGTCATTTTGATAATGTTGTTGTTGTCTGATGTATAGGCTTTGATTTTATTGCTGTATTATGTTGTCCGGGCTTGGCCCCAAGTAAGCTGCTCTGAGTCGCCATCGGGGAGATGGTGGCGGGGTATTGCTTTAATGTTTTTAGTTTGCTTTATGAGTTATATGTATTTGTTATGCTGCTGTTTTTATTGAGGGCCTTTGGCCTTTGTAAGCCGCATCGAGTCCTTCGGGAGATGTTAGCGGGGTACAAATAAAGATAATAATAATAATAATAGAAATAAAGATTATTATTATTATTATTATTATTATTATTATTATTATTATTATTGGCCCTACTGTTCGGCTCCTGATCTGCCGAACTGCCTCTTTTGTTCTATTTAACCATCTCTTGGAAGACATCTTGCCTCTCTCCATGCTCACAGGAGAAGAAAATGGAGGACCGAGGAATAAAAAGAGTCCTGAGAAGCACCAGTTTAGCAAACAAGAGAGGGAGAGGGGGCCATAATGTGTGAAGGGCTTTCCCCGCCAGTAAACACCTCGGCTTGTCTCCTTGTTGAGGACGAGAGGCTTGTGCAGGATGAGTTCCCACAAGGTTTGGGAAGAGGCCCAGGGGGTCTGTCCTACCTGTTGGTAGCTCTGCTGCTGCGGGATTGCCTGGGGGAGGAGGCGGGGCTGGCTGGCAAAGACGTGGCCGTCCAGGTACAGCGGGGGAATGTGGCTTCCTAGTAAGTAAAGGCAAAAGACAGGCAAGGTGTCAAGGCTGAGTGGTGTACATATGTGTGAGCGTATCTATATAAATAAAAATGTAATGTTCGTTTCTGGGATTAACATAACTCAAAAACCACTGGACGAATTGACACCAAATTTGGACACAAGACACCTATCAGGCCAATGAGTGACTATCACTCATAAAAACACGTAAAAACACAGCAGAAGAGACTTAAAAAGCCAAAAAACAAGAAATACATTACAACGCATGCGCAAAACCACATATATACACAAACACACATACATACAAATATATACACATAGATATATGCATATATAGACACACAAAACACATATACATAGACTGGGCCACAGCAACACTAGTATTTTGTCAAATTTTGTTACATAGTGTTGTTATTATTACATTTACTTATATGATTATATTTCTACTTAATAATATAAGTAAATAAATATATTAGTACATTTACTTATATGATTATATTTCTACTTTCTAATAGGGCTGGGCGGTTTCGTTTCGTTAATTCGTAATTCGTTAATAATTCGTTAATTTTTTTTCAATTACAAAACGATAACAAACCATTCTGGAGCAATTATTAAAAAAAACGAATTTTCATAAACGTTTTGTAAATGCTTCGTATTTCGATATTGTATTCGTTTCGTTATTGTTTTGAGGTCGTTTCGTTATTATTTCCGCATGTCTGGGCCAGTTTTATGGTTTAATTAGTGAAAAAAAATTATAATATCACACCAAAAGTCAACAACAGAGGGAGAGGGAAGCTTCAGAAGGTTTTGGAGGTTTTTTAGCGTATTTCGCGGTCGCGTCCGCCATTAACGAATCGATTCGTTATTGTTTCGGAAATCGATTCGTTAATTTTTTACCATTTACAAAATTTTGTAAATATCAAACTTTTTAAAAGGAAAATTTTGTAATTATTTTAAATATCGAAACAAAAAAACACCCCAATTACAAATCGATTTTAGAACCAAATTTTTTCTTGATCAACCAGGCCTACTTTCTAATATAAGTAAATATAATCTTCTTAAATATATATATAAATGCTCTGTGCATAATGAGTACCTTAAAAACAAAAGAACCAATGATCGAAATCACACCAAATTTGGCAACAAAACGTCTCACTACAAAAGGAGTGACCATCACTCAAAAAATTATGATTTTGTCATTTGGGAGTTGTAGTTGCTGGGATTTATAGTTCAGCTATAATCAAAGAGCATTCTGAACTCCACCAATGATGGAATGGAACCAAACTTGGCACACAGGCCTCCTATGACCAACAGAAAATACTAGCAGCGTTTGGTGGGCACTGACCTTGAGTTTGGGAGTTGTAGTTCACCTACATCCAGAGAGCACTGTGGACTCAAACAATGATGGATCTGGACCAAACTTGGCACGAATATTCCATATGCCCAAATATGAACACAGATGGAGTTTGTGGGAAATAGACCTTGGCATTTGGGAGTTGTAGTTACTGGGATTTATAGTTCACCTACAATCAAAGACTATTCTGAATGAACCCCACGAACGACCCCACGATACCAGCAACTACAACTCCCAAATTACAAAATCAATTTTTTGGAGTGAAGGACATACTTTGGGTTGTTAGGTGTCTTGTGTCCAAATTTGGTGTCAATTTGTCCAGTGATTTTTGAGTTTTCTTAATCCCACAAACGAACATTACATTTTATTTATATATAGATATAAAAGCCTTATAGTTTGTAAAGTCAATCATAAAGGTAGTGAAGCAAGTAGTGTCTCTGTGTGTATATATACACACACATACACACACACTCTACTTGCGCTACCTTTATTTATTTATTATTTATTTATTTATTACATATATTTCTATCCTGCCTTTCTCCCCACAAGGGGACTCAGGGCGGCCTTACATAAGCATCCGATGATGCAATCCACATATAACAATATATACAATTAAAACACTAAAATTACATTTAAAACATTATCCAGTTTCAACAATAAATTCAGATACTATCACTGATTGACTTTGCAAACTGTAAGGCTACTCAATGCTAATCAAACTTGCTAACTGCAACATTCACATTATTCCACAGGGATATATACACTCCACTTGCCTCATTTCCAAAAGAACAAAACTCTGAGCATGCCTGCCACAGATGCGGGCAAAACATTAGGAAAGAATGCTACTGGAACACAGCCATACAGCCCGGCAAACTCATAGCAACCCAGTGGTTGCGGCCATGAAAGCCCTTGATAACACTATCCATCTTATCTGTCTATCAAAGGAAGATAGAATGTAAGATGCGAGGAAACTGCAGCTGGTTCAAACATGGCAGCCAGGGAGTTGTTGTCAAATGCTGGGCGGGGGGCTCCGGGATGGACAGAGGCAAAGAAATGTCCCTCTTATTGTTACCCCCCCCCCCCTCGGCCTCTCAGCCACAGAATCCTCTTCAAGGCCCTTCGAAAAGGGCTCCGCAGGATCCATTGAGAGAAACACATCATTGAGGCCAAAGGGAGGGCGAGGCGGGCGCCTCAGTGGGATTACGCTGGCGTCTCTGCCACGTTGGAGCCTAAGCAAGCCACATTTGGGGGCCCAGACCCCCATTAACAAGAGGCTCGTAGAATAATAAAGCTGGAAGGCCTCTTCAACGTCATTTCGGCCATTATGCAGGAGAAACACAATCCGATCCGTCCCGACAGATGGCGGTCCAGCCAGACAGATGGCCATAGATATGACCGAGAAAGGGATTTTTAAGATATAGCATAATAAAGCCGGACAGGACCCCCAAAGGGCCATCTCAATTCAACTTCATTTTGGCCATAATGCAGGGAAAACACAATCCGATCCCTCCCAATAGATGGCTGTGCAGCCAGAGATCTGATTGAAAGAGGGATATTTAAAATAAATCATAGAATAATAAAGCTGGACGGGACTCCCAAAGGGCCATACTTTTTTGCCATTATGTAGGGAAATCCCAATCCGATCCATCCTGACTGATAGCCATCTAGCCATAGATAGATGGCAATAGATATGATTGAGAAAGAGAGAGATTTAAGATATTTTATGGCATCCTTTCAGATAGTATTATTATTATTATTATTATTATTATTAGAATCAAAGAGCTGGAAGAGACCCCAAGGGCCATCCAGTCCAACCCCCTGCCAAGAAGCGGGAATATTGCATTCAAATCACCCCTGACAGATGGCCATCCAGCCTCTGTTTAAAAGCTTCCACCACACTCCGGGGCAGAGAGTTCCACTGCTTAACGGCTCTCACAGTCAGGAAGTTCTTCCTAATGTACAATTATTATTATTATTATTATTATTATTATTATTATTATTATTATTCTCCTCATTTGGTATCAGCCATTAGTTGAGGTTCTGAGTTTGAGCCTGCCACTTTTGGACTCTCGCTTGCTAAGGTGTTCCAGCGAGTGTCTCTGTAGATCTTAGAAAACTATGTCATTTAATCAACTACCAAACTCACACATTTTGTATTTTCTCTGTTTGTTTGCTTTGTTCTGTTAGAAATATAATATAATTGACTGGCTACCCTGACACGAGAAATAAAAATAAATAAATAAATAAATATTATTACTATTAATTGGGTTGTATAACTGTCTCCATTATAGCAGTAAGAAAGAAACAAAACAATAAATACAGGTGAAGGAGATTACATACTCTTCTGGTATAGCTTAGACTCCTTTCAAATTCCATCTTAGTCTCCTACTTATATCTCTCTCATTATTATTATTATTATTATTATTATTATTATTATTATTATTATTATTATTATTAGAAACACAACAAAATTAGTACACAGCAAACCACCTCACTATGCTGGTTGTTGTATTGGATCACACGTCGGACACTTCTCAAGTGTCTAGGACTATGTGATGTATTATTATTATTATTATTATAGTTATTATTATTTTACTGACACAAAAACACAGTATGTCACAGCAAATTAGATCTATATGCTGGATTTCGTATCATAAAATCACAAGTCCAACACTTCCCAAGCATCTAGGAATGTGTGATATTATTATTATTATTATTATTATTATTATTATTATTATTATTATTATTATTATCCCTTCCCCCTCTCCCCCTTCCCTCCCTTTCATTCTGTTTGTTGGATCAAGGAGTTAGTCTGATTTTGTTGTATTTTCTTGTTCCCTTCACTTTGGCTATCACCTCTTTTCAATTCAAAACCTAGCTGAATAGGGAAATATGAACACATGATGGAAAGGGAGCCTACCTGGCATGGAAGCAGAGGGGGCCACTGAGGCCACGGGGGGCATGGTGGGCACAGAGACTCCCCCAAAGGAGCTGTAACTGACCCCCCCATTGGAGGGTCCCCCCACGCCCGAGGGGGGCTGCAGGCCCGAGCCACCGCCATTGACGCCGCCACCGCTGCCAACAGGGGAGCTCTGCTCTGGCAATCCAGGGGAGTTCTCCCAGGCCTTGCGGGCAGACTCCATCTGCGGGGAGGAGGAGGAAAACAACATTAGGCCAAAGCATCATCATCATCATCATCATCATCATTATTGTTGTTGTTGTTGTTGTTATTATTATTATTATTATTATTATTATTATTATTATCATCTGCGGGGAGGAGGAGGAAAACAACAACATTAGGCCAAAGCATCATCATCGTCATCATTATTATTATTATTATTATTATTATTATTATTATTATTATTATTATTATTATTAGACTCAGAGTTGGAAGAGCTGGAAAAGACCTCCAAGGGCAATCCATCCTTACCTTCTTCTGCCAGGCAGCGAGACTGAATTACTATCATATTATTATCCATTATTTATTATTATCCTCAGAGTTATTGATAAGAATTGGGAAATACCTCTAAGGGCAATCCAGGCCTACCCTCTTCTGCCAGGCAGGAAGACTGAATTACTATTATTATCCATTATTATTATTATTATTATTATTATTATTATTATTATACTCAGAGTTGGAAGAGACCCCAAGAGGCCATCCAGTTCCACCCCCTTCTCTCTGCCAGGCAGGAAAAGCACATCAAAGCAACCCAAGGGATGGCCACCCAGCTTCTGTTTAGTTATCTCACCCAGTTTGGTCCCATCTGCAAACTGTATCTGCCTTCTTTCTAAGCCATTAGAAGCCATTAATAAATATCCTTTTGATGATGAGACGATAGTGAATAGTGAATGGTTACTGTAGTAATTGTTTATTAATTATGTAATATGTTAGGTTGTTAACTGTTTTTACACTGTAGCATTGAATTTTTGCTGTTCTTATTTGTTGTGAACCGCTGTGAGTCGCCTTCGGGCTGAGAACAGCGGTATATAAGTAAATAAATAAATAAATAAATAAATAAATAAATATCCCGAAGAGACCTGAAGGGCCCAGGACAGAGAGCTCTTTTTGGCACCAAAGAGCCCCTTGGGCTGCTCAGCCAATGACAACATACCTTGAGGGTGAGGTCCGCTGTTGGGAAAGACATGGGGTTCAAGCCGATGCAGCGCTGGAGGTGGTGATCCCGGCGGAGGACTGGGAGGGACTGGGCCAAGCCGGCCTAAACAGACACAGACAGATCACATTAATTCAAGAATGTGCATCTCGAGGCCAGAGCGATGGACGACATGGCCAGCTCGCGCGCCAGCACGGGCCGCTTCCTTCCCTCTACAACAGACACAGACAGATACACATTAATTCTAAGAATTGTAGCCATCCTCGAGAGCCTCACAGCTCAAAGAACAGAAATATAAGAAGAACGGGAAAAGAAGGGAGAAGGGAAGGTGCAAGAGAAGGAAGGAAGAGAAAAAAGAAGGGAAAGGAAAAGGGAAAAGGAAAAAAGGGAAAGAAGGAAGGGAAGGAAAGAAAGATAAAAGAAAGAAAAGAAAAAGGGAAAAGAAGAAAGGAAGAAAGAAAAGAAAAGAAAAGAAGAAGGAAGAAAAGAAGAAGGAAGCATGGAAACAAAGTGCAAAGGAGGGAAGGAAAGAGGCAGAGAAGGAAGAAAGGAGAGAAAGCAGAAGGACAAAAATGGGGAAAGGAAGGAAAGGTAGAGAAGGAAGGAAGGAGAGAAGGTAGGAAAGAAACAGGGTGCGAAGGAAGGAGGGAAAGGAGAGAAAAAGGAAGGAAAGGGAGAAGGATGGAAATAAAAAGCAAATGAAAGAAGGAGAGGGAAAGAAGAAAAGGGAAGGAAGGAAGGAAAGAGTGAAAGAAAGGGAAAGGAGAGAAAGAGGAAGGAAAGGTTGGCCACAGCAACGCGTGCTGGGTACAGCTAGTATAATCATACAAGTAAATGTAATAGTAACAACACTATGCAACAAAATTTGACAATTTGCCAAGTGTTCGGTTCCTGGCTTGAAAGTGTCATTTCCTGTTTCATTGTACAGTCCTTAACTTTACAAGTAGTTGTCCTATATAACAAAATGTGCTAAAGCAGGTTGGCCATCCTGCAGAAACAAGTACATATAATATTAGAAAATACATTTAAATATAATAATAATAAAAGAAGAAAAATAATATAAATAAATATAAGTAAAATGCAGTATTCAATTAAATTAAATAGTGTTCAATTAAAGCCCTCCCAACAGAGGGCCATTCTGCCTCCATTTAAAAGCCTCCAAAGGCCTTGATCTATCAGAAGCTGGAATGGTGTAGGCCTGGCTCTCGCTCTCTCTGCATGTATGTATACAGTGTTCCCTTGCTACTTCATGGTTCGCTTTTCGCAGACTCACTGTTTTGTGGGTTTTTGCCTCCTAGTTTATGAATGGTTGCCCTGAGAGGCGTTCTAATCCCACGTCCTGGCAACGATGGAGTGTGGAAGGGGGTTTCACCCTCCCCTTCGGGAGAGAAGCAGCCAATCAGGAGAGATTGCAAAGCAAAGCAGAGATAGCTCCCCCCCCCCCAAAAAGGTGCGCTGTGCCTTTAAATCTCTCCTTGCTTCTGCCTCACTTTCGGAATGATATAACATCCCAACTTTGCGGATTTTCACTTTTCGCGGGTGGTCCTAGAACGTAACACTGCGAAAAGTGAGGGAACACTGTATAACAATAATATAAGAAACTATAATAATTAAATAATATAATTCTATTATTATAATAAAATAATATAATTCTATTATTATTTCTGCCCCTGCCTTATGGAATTCCTTGCCACCCTATATGAGAACCATGCGTGACTTAGGGCCTTTTAATCTAGCACTTACCTGGCTTTTTACTGGAGCTTTCGATCTCTGTTAATTTTTAATTTCTGTATGTATGTATTTTATCTTTTACAATTTAGCTGAAAATCGCCTAGAGCATTCTCGGATGGAGGTCGGGACCCCTGGGGGGCTGGGGGTCGGGACCCCTGGGGGGGTCGTGAGGGGGTTTCAGAGGGGTCACTGAAGACCATCAGAAAACACATATTTCTGATGGTCTTTGAAAGCTCTTTGGCATAATTGGTTGGGTTCACAGTGCTCTCCGGAGCCCTAAATCACTGTCAATTCGTCTCAAATCCCTCCAGTATTTTCCATTGGTTATGGGAGTTCTGTGTGGGAAGTTTGGCATAATTCTATCGTTGGTGGTGTTCAGAAGGCTCTTTGATTGTAGGTGAACTATAAATTACAGCAACCACAACTCCCAAATGTCAAGGTCTATTTTCCCCAAGCTCCACCAGCATTCACATTTGGCCATATTGAGTATTCATGTCAAGTTTGGTCCAGATCCATCATTGCTTGAGTCCACAGTGCTCTCTGGAGGTAGGTGAACTACAACTCCCAAACTCAAGGTCAATGCCCACCACACCCTTTCAGTATTTTCTGTTGGCCATGGGAGTTCTGTGTGCCAAGTTTGGATCAATTCCATCGTTAGTGGAGTTCAGATTGCTCTTTGATTGTAGGTGAACTATAAATCCCAGTAACCACAACTCCCAAATGTCAAGATCTATTTTTCCCAAGCAATATTCAGATTTGGGCATATTGAGCATTTATGCCAAGTTGGTCCAGATCTATCATTGTTAGAGTCCACAGTGCTCTCTGGATGTAGGTGAACTACAATTCCCAAATGACAAAATGACTCCCCCTTCCCCGATCCCACCAGTATTCAAATTTTGGCATATTGGGTATTTGTGTCAAATTTGGTCCAATGAATGAAAATACATCCTACATATCAGGTATTTACATGACGATTCATGATGGGAGCAAAATGACAGTTATGAAGTAGCAACAAAAATAATGTTACGGTTGGGGGTCACCACAACATGAAGAACTGTACTAAGGGGTCACGGCATTAGGAAGGTTGAGAACCACTGGCCTAGAGCAATCTCGGATGGAGGGCGATTAATAAGTAATTAAATATGATGATGATAATTATTATATTAAAATATTATACTATTATATTATTATAATTATTATATTATATTATAATTATATTATTATAATTACTATATTATAATATAATAATATTAGTAAAATAATAATATACGAAAATATACCGTATATACTCGAGTATAAGCCGACCCGAATATAAGTCGAGGCACCTAATTTTACCACAAAAAACTGGGAAAATGTATTGACTCGAGTATAAGCCAAGTCAATACGGGTCAATTTCAAAATAAAAATAGATACCAATAAAATTATATTAATTTAGGCTTCAGTAGGTCAAATGTTTTTGAATATTTACATAAAACTGTAATTCAAGATAAGACTGTCCAACTCTGATTAAACCCTTATTCTAACCTTCTTCAATGTAAACAGGCTTACATGTCCTCCAATAATAATAAATAGAGTAAAATAATAAAATAATAAACGTAATAATAACAATACAGTAAAATAATGTAATAATAATAATAGAGTAAAATAATAAATGTAATAATAACAACAATAAAATAATAAATGTAATAATAATAACAATAACAAAGTAAAATAATAAATAATATTGACTCGAGTATAAGCCGGGGGAGACTTTTTCAGCCTTAAAAAAACGACTGAAAAACTAGGCTTATACTCGAGTATATACAGTAAGTGTTACGGCAATAGAAGACTCCCCCGTTAAACATCCGTAAGTCTTGATGCTCAAGCAGAGTTTGCTTTCAATGGGGCATCTTCCGGGCTTCTCTTCCTGGGATCCCTTAGGCCTTGTAGCCCCAAAACCTCAGAAGGAAGAGGAAGGAAGGGCAAGGGCGCCACTCACTTTGGGGTTGACCCCGAACTCAATAGGGGGCACAGGGAGGACGGGGTCCACGTGGATCTCCACCCCGTTTCCGGTGGGCAGGCTGCCCCCTCCTTCCAGGCGCTCGGCCCCCTCGGAGCCCTTCCGGTTCTTCAAAGAGCGTTCATTGCCGATCGGACCGGGCTTGTGGTCTTTGCTCTGGCCAAGGCCTGGCTCCGGATCCTAAACAGACACACACAGGGAGAAACAGAGGAGTTGAGTGTTTTGCCTGGAAAGAGAAGGGAGTTGGACTGGATGGCCCCTGGGGTCCCTTCCAACTAGGATTCTATTGTATCTATTCTTCAATATCCCTCTCTCAATCATACAGTATCTAGGGATAGATGGCCATCTGTCGGGAGGGATCGGGTTGTGCTTTCCCTGCATTATGCCAGAAATGGGGTTGGATTGAGATACTCCTTTGGGGGGTCCCTTCCATCTCTAGGATTCCATTATATATCATCTTAAATATATCTCTCCCAATCGTATCTATAGCTACCTGTTTATAGCTGGAGGGCCATCTGTCAGGAAGGATCAGGTTATGCTTTCCCTAAATCACGCCCTTTTGGGGGTCCTTCTATCTCTAGGATTTTATTATATATCATCTTAAATATCTCTCCCTCAATCGGATAGCTACCAGTTTATAGCTAGAGGGCCATCTGTTGGGAGGGATCGGGTTGTGTTTTCCAAGCATAATGGCAGAAACGGGATCCCAACTCGAGATTTTTGTGATATTTACTTATTTTATTTATTTATTATTCGAACGTATATGCCGCCACTCCCCTGGGGCATATATCTATTTCTCTCCATCATATCTATGGCCATATATCTCTGGTTGGACAGCCATCTGTTGGGAGTGATCGGACTTTGCTAATGGCCGAAAAGGGGCTGGACTGGATGCCCCCTGGGGGGTCCCTTCCAACTCTAGGATTCTGTGATATATCTTAAATACATACCTCTCCCAATCCTATCTATGGCTGGGTGGCCATCTGTTGGGAGGGATTGGGTTGTGCTTTCCCTGCCTAATGGAAGCAATGGGGTTGGACTGGATGGTCATTTGGGGGTCCCTTCCAACTCTAGGAGTCTGTGATATATCATATATCGTATATATATATATCAATCCTTTCTATGGCTGGATGGCCATCTGTTGGGAGGGATTGGGTTGTGCTTTCCCTGCCTAATGGAAGCAATGGGGTTGGACTGGGATGGCCATTTGGGGGTTCCTTCCAACTCTAGGAGTCTGTGATATATCTTAAATACATATCTCTCTCAATCCTATCTATGGCTGGATGGCCATCTGTTGGGAGGGATTAGGTTGTGCTTTCCCTGCCTAATGGAAGCAATGGGGTTGGACTGGGATGGCCATTTGGATGTCCCTTCCAACTCTAGGATTCTGTGATATATCTTAAATATATATATATCTCAATCCTATCTATGGCTGGATGGCCATCTGTTGGGAGGGATTGGGTTGTGCTTTCCCTGCCTAATGGAAGCCATGGGGATGGATTGGGATGGCCATTTGGGGGTTTCTTCTAACTCTAGGATTCTGTGATATATCTTAAATATATATATATATATATATCTCAATCCTATCTATGGCTGGACGGCCATCTGTCGGGAGGGATCGGGTTGTGTTTTCCCTGCATAACTGCAGAAAAGGGGTTCAGCTGGGATGGCCATATATCTCACATCTCGGTCTCTCTCCATCATATCTATGGCTAGCTAAGTCTGGGGGGTGGGCTTGTGCTTGCAGACAAGTGCCTAGTCTGGATGGCCTTCGGGAGCCCCTCCTGAGACCTATCATTGCCACTCTCGGTGGGGGGAGCGAGGGGGAGTTACCTTCTTCTCGGCCGGCTTGGGCCCGCCTTCCTTGTGCCCCCCATCGGAGGGCTTGGGCTCGGCCAGGCCCTGTCCGACCGCGTCTTCGGGCTTGAGGGCGCCGTAAGGGGAGCTGCGCTGGGAGGAGGTGGCCGAGGACTCCCGGGACTCGGCGCTCAGGTCGATGCCGCTGTCGCCTTGGCTGCCCTTGAAGCCTTGCTGCTGCTGCGGGAGAAGAAGCGGGAGGGTCACTTCAAGGGCAACGGGGCCCCCAAATGACACCCAATCCAACTAACGTCTGCAATAAAGGAAATGTGCAATCTAATCCCTCCCGACAGATGGCCATCCAGACTCTGCTTCATCTTCATCATCATCACTGAATCATAGGATCCTGGAGTTGGAAAGGGACCCCCAAATGACACCCAATCCAACTAACGTCTGCAATAAATGAAATGCACAATCCGATCCCTCCCAACAAATGGCCATCCAGACTCTGCTTTCCTATTATTAATTATTATTATTACTATTATTACAGAATCATAGGATCTTAGAATTGGAAGGGATTCGCAAATGACACCCAATCCAACTAACGTCTGCAATAAATAAAATGCACAATCTGATCCCTCCTGACAGATGGCCACCCAGACTCTGCTTCACCACCACCACCACCATCATCATCATCGTCATCATCATTATTGAATCATAGGATCCTAGAGCTGGAAGGAACCCCCAAATGACACCCAATCCAACTAACATCTGCAATAAATGAAGTGCACAATCTGATCCTTCCCAACAGATGGCCACCCAGACTCTGCTTCACCACCACCACCATCATCATCATCATCATCATCATCATCATTGAATCATAGGATCCTAGAGTTGGAAGGGATTCGCAAATGACACCCAATCCAACTAACGTCTGCAATAAATGAAGTGCACAATCTGATCCCTCCCAACAGATGGCCACCCAGACTCTGCTTCACCATCATCATAATTATTGAATCATAGGATCCTAGAGTTGGAATGGACCCCCAAATGACACCCAATCCAACTAACATCTGCAATAAATGAAATGCACAATCTGATCCCTCCCGACAGATGGCCATCCAGACTCTGCTTCACCATCATCATCATTATTATTAGTAGTAGTAGTATTGAATCATAGGATCCAAGAGTTGGAAGGGACTCCCAAATGACACCCAGTCCAACTAACCTCTGTAATAAAGGAAACATACAATCTAATCCCTCCCAACAGATGGCCATCCAGTCTCTATTATTATTATTATTATTATTATTGAATCATAGGATCCTAAATTTGGAAAGGACATCCCAATAACACCCAATCCAACCCCCTTCTGCAATAAAGGAAACATACAATCTGAACCCTCCCAACAGATGGCCATCCAACCTCTATTATTATTATTATTATTATTATTATTATTATTATTACTGTTGTTGTTGTTGTTGTTGTTAATATTATTTGAAACAAACAAGGTGAGTCCACAGCAAACAAGATTACTCTGCTGGCTGCTGTATTGGATCACACGGCGGACACTTCCCAAGTGTCTAGGACTGTGTGAAAAATCGGCGAATAATGTCTGCAGATCCAAGTAGGGTGGCCTTTTGCAGCTGACAGGTGGTAATTTGGTCAGCACCAATTGTTTTTAAGCACAGGCCAAGGTCTTGAGGCACTGCACCCTGTGTGCCCATCACCACTGGGATCCCCTTGACTGCTTTGTGCCAGTGTCTTTGCAATTCGATCCTTAAATCCTCATATTGTGTCAGCTTTTCCAGTTGTTTCTCTTCAATCCTGCTGTCACCTGGGATTGTGACATCGACGATCCATACTTTGTTTTTATGTCCTCCACTCAACCCCCCCCCCCAAAGAAACAGCAGTAACCCCAAAAATCTACACAAGGGAATAGCGGCCGTTACAGCACTGAGAGCCATACAATACTTCATATATTACTATTATATATATTTCTATATAATACATATATATTATATATATTATTTTTATATATACTATTATATAATATGTTGCTACTATATATTACTATATTAAATAGACTCATAGAATAGAGTTAGAAGGGACTCTACCATGGTATTGGGGGAGAACAGACAGGAAGGAAGGAGGGAAGGAAGGAGAGAAGGAAGGAAGGAAAGAGGTACTGAAAGAAGGAAAAAGAGAAAATAGGAAAGAAAAAGGAAAGGAAAGGCAGGAAAGAGATAAAGAAGGAAGGAAGGAGAAAAGGAAATAAAAAGGGGAAAAAAGAAAGGAAACAGGGAGGGAAGAAAGGAGACAAAGAAGTAGAGAAGAGGAGGGAAGGAAGGAAAGAGAGAAGGAAGGATGAAACCAAAGAGCGAAAGAAGGAATGAAAGAAAGAGATAGAGAAGGAAGAAAGGAGGGAAAGGGAAAGGGGAAGAAAAAGGGGGAAGGAATAGGTACGTACCTCTCTTTCATAATAGTTCAGATTTACCTTTACTTCGAAAATTCTTACTATTGGCCACTGCAAAGCGTGGCAGGGCACAGCTAGAAACAATAATAATAATAATAATAATAATAATAATAATAATAATAATAATAATAATTTATTATTATTATTATTATTATTATTATTATTGTAGTAGTAGTAGTAGTAGTATCCTCATTTTTCCCTCACTCAAAAAAAGTCTCAAAAATGCTTACAGTAAAACCAATACCATTCAAAACCTAAATAATTAAAATTGAATTAAATATTAAAAACAATCAGTTCAAACCCCTACTAAGTGACAAAAAACAACTGGCAATGGGCCGCTTACCTCGTTGGTGTTGGATTCGGTACTGTTGAAGGTGCCGGTGGGTTTGCTCCAAGAATCGGTCGCAGATGACGGAACCGAAAGGGCTGTTGAGAAAGGCAAAGGGACAAAGAGTTATGAACAGTGAACGTATTTGCATGTGTTATGATTCCGGGTGCCTCCTATACGGTATATCAATCTATATTGTGGCAGACACTTGTCGTGTTCTTTGGAAGCCTGTTGAGACCAAGTGAACAATGAGCGGCCTCTGAGGCTTCCTCCATAAAAAGGAGTTCACTTTGGAAGTCATGAGAAGCTAATAAAATTATCTCGTCATAAGAATCTCATAATAATAATAATAATAAAGTATAATAATATAATCATCTACTACTAATGATAATACTATTTTAATAATCTAATAATCATTACTAATATAATAATATAAAATCATCATTTAGTAATACTCTCATATCAATAATATAAATATTATAGTCATCTAATAACAGTATAATAATAATATAAAATCATCATTTACTAATACTCTCATATTAACAATATAAATATAATAGTCATCTAATAACAGTATAATAATCTAATAATAATATAAAATCATCATTTACTAATACTCTCATATTAATAATATAAATATAATAAAATCATCTAACAGTATAATAATCTAATAATAATAATAAACAAATAATAACTTACTAATACTCCCATATTAATTTATTTTTATTTTATTTTATTTATTTAACTTGTATACTGCTACTCCCAATTTGGCTCGGAGCGGTTTACAGAAATAGATTAAAACAATACAATTAGCTTTAAAAATAACCATAACAATAACAATAGGACAGAATAGCCCGGGTTGTTCACCCATCAAAAGCTTGCCGGAAAAGAAAAGTTTTACAGGCTTTCCGAAAACCAAGTAGGTCTCGGATGGTTCGAGTTTCAACCGGCATTTCATAAATAAGGGGCTACGATCGAGAAGGCTCTATGTATAATAATAATATATTATAATATCGTAATTTAATAATAGTATAATCTAATAACATAATAATTGAATAATAATACCACTAATAACCTAATAATAATAATCCACTTTGTTAATAAGCAACCTAATAATTTTTTTTTTCGTGTCAAGAGTGACTTGAGAAACTACAAGTTGCTTCTGGTGTGAGAGAATTGGCCATCTGCAAGGACATTTTGGATGTTTTGATGTTTTATCATCCTTGGGGGAGGCTTCCCTCATGTTCCCGCAATGGGGAGCTGGAGCTGACAGAGGGAGCTTATCCACATTCTCCCTGGATTCGAACCTCTGACCTGTCGGGCTTCAGTCCTGCTGGCACAAGGGTTTAACCCATTGTGCCACCTGGGGCTCCTAACCTAATAATAATCACCTGGAGTATAAATAAATATAATAATAATCATCATCATCATCATCATCATCATCATCATCATCATCTATATATAAATGCTCTGTTTGTTTTGAGTGACAGTATGACTCAAAATCCGCTGGACGAATTGCCGCCAAATTTGGCCACAAGACATCTACTAACCCAAGAAGTGACCATCACTAAAAAAAATTGATTTTGTCATTGGGGAGTTGTAGTTGCAGGGATTTATAGTTCATCTACAATCAAGGAGCATTCTGCACTCCACCAACGATGAAATTGAACCAAACTTGTCACACAGAATTCGCATGACCAACAGAAAACACTGGAAGGATTTGGTGGGCATTGACCTTGAGTTTGGGAGCAGTTCATCTACCTCCAGAGAGCTCAAGGACTCACCAGGGCCGTTCGTCTCCCAGATCTCGGTCCCGAGGCTGTTTCCAGAGACGGTGGTGGCAGCCATCTCTCCCTGGTCGAGGCACAGGCCGCTCTGTTTCTTGGCAAAGCGCGGGGGGATGCGGGACTGGAGGACACGGCCTTTAGGCGGGGCCTGCGGACAAACAGGAAATTAGTCCATCAGAGTTCATGAAAACAAATACTGGAACTTCCAAGGTAAAACTCAAAAACTTGAACATGACTCAAACAAGGCACTTAGCACAGGAATCTATCCAAGGCAAGGCTTCCAGGGACCTGGCACAATGTCTTGACTCCAACGTTGCTTCGTCAGGCTACAGATTCTCTATTTGGCACTTTTATCCCCTAACCTACTCTATATCCCAAGCAGCCAGGAATGGATTTCTTTTCAGCCTTGACTCTGTTATCAATCTCTCTCGCAATCTGGCAGCGCGCCTGAGAGCTTGGTTTTGTTTGTCTGTGTTGACTGAAAACATTTCTCCAATCTACTGGCTCATTAATTTCTGCAGCTGACACAGGTGCCGAGCTTTTTTCAGGCTCAAAGCCTTGGGAATTCTCTGGTAGCAATTCAGGTCTAGGGAACATATCATCATCCCCTAACCCTTCAGGAACTTTTCCCATGATTAAAATCACTTTGGACAAGAACCCCATTGTCATTTTCTGCATCTAGAGCAAACTCATCATTAGAAACATGAATCTCATTCCAGAGCACCTGATGAACCAACCTGAACACAGCATATTATTTGATAACACAGAAATGCTGGATCACTCCAACAACCACCATGTCAGACTACACAGAGAAGCCATTGAAATCCACAAGCATGTGGACAATTTCAACAGAAAGAAGAAAACCAAGAAAATGAACAAAATCTGGCTACCAGTATTACAAAACTCTAAAATTAGAACAGCACAACAACAGAGAGGAAACAAACAAGGACATCTAATCACCTCTCAACAAAAGATTGCTCTAGGCACTGCCAGGCAATCAAATGCTAATCAAGGCGGTCAGTTGAAACATTCACACCTAGCTCCAGCAGACAAGAGTCCTTTGTCTCACCCTGGTCATTCCACAGATATATAAACCCCTTTGCCTAGTTCCAATAGACCTCACTACCTCTGAGGATGCTTACCATAGATGCAGGCGAAACGTCAGGAGAAATCCCTCTAGAACATGGCCATATAGCCCGAAAAAACCTACAACAACCCAATGAATCTCATTGTCACTCCCAACATCCAGAGTACCCTGATCATTAGACACAATCACAGGCTGAACTGCTGGGATTTCTGGGAGTTGATGTCCAAAACCCCTGGAGGGCTAAAGTTTTGCAAAGAGCAAAAAACCAAGAAAAAAACCCCCAACCCCCCCTCCCCAMMAAAAAAAACACCTCCAGCTATTTTGGATTTTTTATATAGTATTTTGATCAAAAATAGTATTTYGATCAAAAATAACTTTTCTTTCAAAAAAAATCCTAAAATTGAAAAGTTATCAATAATGCACTCAAAGTTCTCATAATCTCRCTCAAGTGAATGGTTTTTTTAAAATATGAAATGTTTGAAAAGGCCTAATTCGTGTTCATTTTAATTTAATGCAATGTTATCTCAATATTATYGGAACTGTATGTGTATTAAGGCAGACATGAATAATTGCCTGTATGTAAGCCACCTTGAATCCCCTTCGAGGTGGAGAAAGGCGGGGTATAAATAGGGTAAATCTATATAAATAAAAATGCCATGTCAGTTTGCCGGATTAACATAACTCAAAAACCACTGGACAAATTGATAGTAAATTTGGACACAAGACACCTATCAGGCCAACAAGTGACCRTCTATATAAATAAAAATGTAATGTTTGTTTATGGTACTCACAGAACTCAAAAACCAATGGGGGAATTGACACCAAATTTGGACACAAGACACCTAACAACCRAATGTATATCCTTCACTCAAAAAAATTGATTTTGTCATTTGGAAGTTGTAGTTGCTGGGATTTATAGTTCACCTACAATTAAAGAGCATTCTCAACCCCACCAACGATGGAACTGAACCATACTTGGCAGACACTTCTCCCATGACCAACTGAAAATACTGGAAGGGCTTGGTGGGCAGTGTCCTTTGGTTTTGGAGTTGTAATTCACCTACATCCAGAGATCACTGTGGACTCAAACAATGATGGATCTGGACCAAACTCTACACGAATACTCAATATGCCCAAATGTGAACAATGGTGGAGTTTGGGGGAAATAGAATCTTGACACTTGGGAGTTGTAGTTGCTGGGATTTATAGTTCACCTACAATCACAGAGCATTCTGAACCCCACCGACGATAGAATTGGGCCAAACCTCCCACACAGAACCCCCATAACAACCAAAGTGGGCCACAGCAACACATGGCAAGGGACGGCTAGTCACTCATAAAAACATTGAAAAACAGAACGGAAGGAATTTAAAAAGCCAAAGAAGCAAAACAACTCTACAGTGCATGCGAAAAAACAACTCCCCCTGGCAAACAAAACACACAATAGCATATCCACACTCTCTTCTGGACTACAGCTCCCAGCATCCCCTTTAGGAGAGGAGGAGGATCCAAATGCACTGCTTCCAAGATGCAAGCTTTCTTCTCCTTGGATCTCTTTGAGAGCATCCCAATCCCTGCGTATTCCCGATTTCCTATTCCTGGACTGCAACTCCCACCAATCCTCCAGGTAGATAGCTTACATAGAGATAGGCAGGTAGGTAGATAGATAGATCAGAAGGACTGCTGGGAGTTGCAGTGCAAGAATAGGCAGAGAAGGAAGAAAGGGAGGAAAGGGAAGAGGAAGAGAAGGAGAGAATGAAAGAAAAAAAAGGAAGGAATAAAAGAGGGAGGGAAGGAAGTAGAGAAAGGAAGGAGGAGAGAACGAGGGCAGGTCCAGCTAGTAAATAATAAATAAATAAATACGGCTGAGCTTTGCCCCTATTTGATTAACGGGATTGATTAACGGGTGGAGGAGAGCAGGGGAACCCCTCAGTGGATTGAAAGACGCAGGTCGGCAAAAGGTGTTACCTGTGCAGCCTGTTCCTTTTTGCGGCGCTCCTCCTCCAGCAAGCGACGCTGCTTCTTGGTCAGGACCTCGATGAAGCCTTCGCCGGCCATAGGGAGACCCCCCTCGCCCTCTTCCTCCTCCTCCTCCGCAGGGCCTGAGAGGCGGCTGTCCATCAGGCTGCCTGCAGAAAAAGCGAAGGAGGTCACCAAGGAAGGAGGAGCCCCTCTTCCCAGCCATTCCCCAGCGCAAAGGGAGCCCCTCTTCCCAGCCATTCCCCGGCGCAAAGGGGATGCCGCAACTCACTTCCGTAGCCAAGCTCAAAGGGCGAAGAGGCTCCCTCCCCTTTCTCTGACTGAGATGCAGCTTTGGCCTCCGGCTTCTTTCCCACTCCGTCGGCATGAGAACCGTAGAGGGAATGACTGCTCCCAGAGCCACCGGCCTCCAGGCCTTCCTCGGGAGATCTAGAGAAGGAACAGAGGGACAAGAGCCATGGCTTTAGGTCAGGCCTGGGCCAACTTCAATGTCTGCAAATGCAGGTGAAACATCTGGAGAAAATGCTGCTAAAGCACACTGGTCATATAGCCCGGAAACCACACAACACCCCAGTGATTCCGGCCGTGAAAGCCTTCAACAATACAGTAACAATACTATTTAGGACTAGAATACAGAGTTCCCTCACTACTTCGCTGTTTGATTTACGCGGACTCACTGTTTCGCGGACACACACACACACATACATTACAACGGGCATCAGAAAGGGAGGCTGGTGTGAAGCACCTCACGCACTGACTGTTCTGGTACAGCTGTACCAGGAGCTCCAACTTTATTTGCTTTGTATTAAATATTTGCTTGCAGCCCTGGGTTTCAGGGACTCTGCAGATAGGTGGCTTCCTTTGGTTGCAGTCATAGGGCAAGTCACCTGCCCATCATCATGAAGTTTTGGTTCCGCCCCTTGCTCAGGGCAATTGGGAAGGGAAGGGAGCCATTTTTAGTTAGTCTCAGCAAGGAAAACTAATGTACAGGACGTGTGCAAGCTTCCCCTGTACAAAAGCTTCAACCCTTAAGACTTTCCGGGGGAAAACAGTCTTAAGAGTCTCCAAAGATTTCCATGAAAACAGCCCTAAAGACCAAAGAACTCCAGCTGGAGAACTATCTAAGCCTTTACTGGTAGGTCCACTCGGTGCTTCGAGACGCAGTTCGACCCGGTAGCGGAGCCCACATCAGTAAGGGTTAGATTACAGTCAGCCTGGGAGAAGTTAAAAAGGGGATTTTCCTTTAAAGTAAAGAAGAAGTTATTGAAGACAGTTGCCTGTCTTTCGTGGGCAAGTTTAGGAAGCTACCAGTTGCATAAAAGCCTGGAATCATTTGTTTAACTTTCTGAAGACAAGAGAAGTTTCTGTTTGATTGTTCATTAATAAAAGACTTTGTTGTACTTCACAAGCCATCTAAAGATCATTTGTGTTGGAAAACATCTGAGAACTTCTCCTTGGGCCCCCTGACTTCCCGCTGGGCAAAGGTTGCACGTCCTGTTCTAAAGATAATTCTTTACAGGCCCAGTGCGTGACAGAACACTGACACTTTTTTTGCTCATTCCTTAATTATATAAATAAAAATGTAATGTTCGTTTGTGGGATTAACATAACTCAAAAACCACTGGACGAATTGACACCAAATTTGGACACAATACATCTATCAGGCCAACGAGTGACCATCACTCATAAAAACACTGAAAAACACAGCGGAAGAGATTTAAAAAGCCGAATAATAAAAAATACATTACAATGCATGCACAAAACCACATATACACACATATATATACACACAAAACGCATAAACACAGACTGAGCCACAGCAACGCGTGGCAAGGTATTGCTAGTGTATAAATAATGTATAAATATTACATAAATATAAGTAATGTATAAATATTACAATTAGTATAGCGTCCCTACTTCACGGATTTTCACTTATTGCGGGTGGTCCTGGAATATAACCTCTGTGATAAATGAGGGAACACTGTAGTTGCTTTCAAGATGGCGCAGAGTGAAACACTCTGATAACCTCGCTCCCTGGGTTACTTACTAAGATTTTCAAAAAACTAAGAATCCTAAACAGTCTGAAGGTCGAGGGATGTTAACATGTTAACAAGATAATTTCCTGACTTCTATGAAAGGGAGTGACAACTTATCTAAGCTAACTTGAAACCCTGAAGAATTATCAGAAGGTTGTTGTAGGTTTTTCGGGGCTATATGGCCATGTTCTGGAGGCGGTTTTTCTCCTGACGTTTCGCCTGCATCTATGGCAAGCATCCTCAGAGGTAGTGAGGTCTGTTGGAACTAGGAAAAAGGGTTTATATATCTGTGGAATGACCAGGGTGAGACAAAGGACTCTTGTCTGCTGGAGCTAGGTGTGAATGTTTCAACTGATCACCTTGATTAGCATTCAATGGCTTGGAATTGCCTGGGGGGAATCTTTTGTTGAGAGTGATTTTATGTGCCTGTTTGTTTCCCCTCTGTTGTTTTGCTGTTGTAATTTGAGTTTTTTAATACTGGTAGCCAGATTTTGTTTATTTTCATGGTTTCTTCCTTTCTGTTGAAATTGTCCACATGCTTGTGGATTTCAATGGCTTATCAGAAGACTTGGTGTTCTCCTGAGTTGTTTTTCTACGGATATCTATGTCTAGGAAAAGGTTCCCCCCCCCCCCCCACCTTCTTTACCGGACGGTCCTTTCTATCTACAAGCAAGAAATGCAGAGGCAAAGAGTTTTTACTCTTTTATATTTTTACCCTTATTTTTTTTAAAGCATATGTTTTCCACCTACGCAACCGTGAAGCCAACAGGAAATTGAAAGTCACCTGGGAAGGTCAAGAGCTTGAACACTGTTTCCATCCTAAATATCTCAGTGTCACCTTAGATCGAAGACTAGCAGATAGGAAACACTGCTTGAACACCAAGCACAGAGTAGCTGCACGCAATAACACCCTGCGGAAACAGTCTTAAGAGCATCCAAGACTTTCTGGGGGAGAACAGTCTTAAGAGTCTCCAAAGATTTCCAGGGAAACAGCCTAAAGACCAAAGAACTCCAGCTGGAGAACATCTAAGCCTTTACTGGTAGGTCCACTCGGCGCTCGAGAAGCAGTTCAACCCGGTAGTAAGAACATCAGCCCTGGCCTTGTCTTACTCAACTGCCGAGTATGGCCGCCCTGTTTGGCATAGATCTGCCCATGCAAAGCAGGTGAACATAGCATTGAACGAAGCATGCAGAATAATCACAGGATGCCTTAAACCTACACCTGTTGATAAACTACAAGGAAGTTGCTGCTAAATGTGGGAGAAATGAGGTTGAACACTGTGAAAACCACCCACTACATGGCTACCAGTCTCCTCCCAGCAGACTCAAATAAAGGAAAAGCTTTATGAGAACCACCACTCCTCTTGGTGTACCCCCAGCAACAGCAAGGGTATCCCTCTGGGCAGCTTAACCAGGAAACTCCAACTGGATGGCCCCCCACGAGAGAGGGTCTTCTTCCAGGGGCAAACCAAGAATGGGCAACTTGGAAGTCCCTGAACAGACTCAGAAGTGGAGTGGGCAGAACAAAAGACAACCTGGCAAAATGGCACGACCTAAAAGAATCCCACACCTTGTGTGACAGTGGAGCAGAACAGACAATTCCGCATCTGTATGCTTGTCCACTATGCCCTGCCTCATATACAGAGGAAGAGTTGTTGGAGGCTACAGACAATGCCGTTGCTGTTGCCCGTTTTTGGTCAAAAGTTTAGCCACTTGCACTCCTTATATTTTTATCGGTTTTATACTAATTTATGCAATGTTTTTGATATGAAATAAAACCCTTATCTTACTCCTATTCTGGTTGCAGTTTTTAATCACTGATGAGGCATATCGGTTCTCTCTCTTTTAATTTGTAATGGGAAAAGGGAAGAGAGAATGTCCTCCCCCAGTCAAACAAAATGACAAAGCAAGCAAATTGCTAAAGAATGGAGAGGTTACTTCAAAGGAGGATTCTATATCTGACCTTTTTTTCCAGAAATAAGTATGAATTACTTCAAGACAACTCAGCCGATAGCTGCCTTGAGGTATTAACTGAAGACATGGGGAAAATAGATGTTGAAAGTAGCATTGTGATTAACTCCACGGAGCATACGGAGTCTATATCTGTTTACGAACTGTCTGCTAAACAAATATTCTTCACTCTGGATACTCTAAACTTGGTATGTTCCAAGCTAGAAAATATTCAATAGAAACTAGAATGTACTAATTTTAATTCTGCTGCGTTTCTGAATCCCATAATTTGGGAGTAGTAAGAAGAAACAGATAAGACACGGTCTGTAATTAGGCAGGACCAATGATCTAGACGACACTCAATTGCAAACAAAACAAATTAAAACAAGGAGAACAGAACCTCACCACTCTGAAACAAAACAACTTAAATTCAATCCCTGTCAACTGGAATTTTGTATTTCACCAAACTCCATAAACTGGAACAGATGGGGTAACAAAAATCATATTTACAACTACAAGTGTCAGTTGCAGTTGTGTTGATAAATGGGAGCGGCAGCCCCAGACATTTGCAGTCGGGGGATCTCTAGAGAGAAAGAGAGTAAATGCCTTTACCTCCTGCCCCTCCCTTGCAGGGCTCCGTTCTGCTGGCCCTCGTATCGGGAGGGCCCGCCGCCCACGCTGCCTCGAACCGCTTTCTCCCCGAATCCCACCGGGTCCACCTTCCGGCTCTGCCTATCCGCTAAAGGCCTCTGGCTTGAGAAGCTCCGCTTGGCCAGCTCCCTCTTCTCCGGGAGCCCACCGTCCAACATGGCCTCACCCTCTGAAGTGCCGCCGTTGCGCCGGTCCCTCCTCTCACTGAAGTCACTGCTCTCGGAGGCCGTCTCCCACTCCTCGTTGGCGTGGTCGGAGGAGTTCTGTCCTGAGAGCTCCGGGGAGCGCTGGGTGGAGGGTCCGCTTCGATCCGCTGTTGCCCCTCGGCTCGACCACTGACCGCTGCTGTTGCCGCCTTCTTCAGGGCTCCACTGACCCACAGACTCACGCTCCTGCCTTAGGCGCCGGAAGCGAGGGGGCTTGTCCTGTCGAGGGGGTCTCCTCCGGCGGAAGGGGCGGTTCTCCCCATTCTCCGCATCCCCGCTGTAATCCTCCTGGAAGTAGTGTCGCTTCTCGAGGGGATCCTCCTCCCCAAAGCTCCGCTTGTTGTATGTGTCTTGGCCATAGTCCCTCTCCATGTGGCCCCTCCAGGCCCCGAAGCCATCCAGAGGCTGGCCGTTGCCATGGCCATATTCCTGCCACCCTCGCCCTTGCCACTGCGGGCCCTCTTTGGCTGCAAAGCCCCGTCGGCCGTAGCCAGAGTTGCTCAACCGCGGAGGCAGCGACCGGCCAAATGCCCGCGGCGGAAGTGGCGCCCTTGCTTTAGGGTCTCCCTCGTCTGAATAGATCTTGTTGGAGCGCCAGGAGTCGTGGGTGTCCCCCTTCTTGAGCCCGGCGGTGCCCTCTTCTGCCTCGCCGCTGTTCTCTGTGCCCCTCTGCCGGCGCCGCTTGGGCAGCTCCTCATACTCTGAGCCCTCACTGTGGGTCTCGCTGGCAATGCGACGACGCGGCTTCCCTCGCGGAAACTCCTCCTCTGCCGCTAAGGAATTGATCTCCTTCAAAGGCCGGCCCCGGCTGCTCCTTGGGACGCTGGGAATGGTGGAGGTGGCTCGGCTGATGTTCCCATTCACGGCTGCGTTGCCTCGCCCCCCTCTGAAGGTGAACTCCTTGAAGCCGCGGCCTCGCCCCCGCCCCCTTCCTCCAAAGGCCTGTTCCTCATCAATGAAAATCCAGTTGTTTCTCTTTGTCGGGGGCAAATCCCCAGGCTCCCGGGACTGATTCCTCCCGCTCTTTTCCTCCTCCTCCTCCTCCTCCTCCTCCTGTTCTTCCTCCTCTTCCTCCTCACGGGGCTTCTCCACTTCCCGAGAAGGGCCTTTCTCCTCTGCCAAGCGATAGTTGGAGACTGGAGGCAAAGCGGCAAGATCTCGGTCTCTGTTGTCCTCTGCTCTTGGAACAGGCACCGCTTTTTCCTTCACCTCTTCCACTTCTGCTGACTTCACCTTCTCCAGCTCTTTCTCCTTCTCCTCCACTTTGAGAGCCTTCAGCACCGGCTTCTTGATGGGACCAGATCGGCGGGCCCTTCCCGTTGTTTCCGAGTGGCCACCGTGCCGCGTTTCAGAAGCCCACCTGGTTTCGGCCGAAGCAGAAGCAGCCGGCTTCTCCGCAGCTTTCTCCTCCTCCTCGTCATCCCGACGAGAAGCCTCTTCCTCCTTTGACGATGACACCGCCACTTCGGAGGTCTTTGAGTACAGACCGGCATCCCAACCGTTGCACTCCGGCTTCTTCCCAGGCTCCATGGTGTTGCGCTCTTGGGATGAGAAACCACGATCCTGGCTCAAGCGTTGGGAGGCGGAGGGGACACAGCTCTCGTAACCGGCCTTCCTGTCGAAGGCATTCAAGTAATCCTCTGGCTCCTCAAAAAGGTCCTTCTGGGCCCGGAAGTTGTCATTCCTACAAGGAATAGGAAACCGGAAATAATAAGAATAATAAGAATAAACTTTATTTCTACCCACCCCATCTCTCTGAGGGGAGTTGCGGCGGCTCACAACAATATAATAATACAAACACATAAATATGGCTTCTCATCCCAAGAGCACAACCCAATGGAGCCTGGGAAAGAGCAAGCTGTTGCACTCCAGGCCAGGAAAGCCTTCTTACTTTAAACACCACACAGCTGAGTAAAAATGCAAGCAATTTATAGAAGATAATTAAAAAGCAGTAGCAGTAAAAAAAACACTCCATAAAAATCCAAGTAGGTAGAAAGATAAGCAGAAACAAATAGTTGAGGAAATTCGTTCATCAGAGTTCATGAAAAACAAATATAGAAACTCCAAGGTAAAACTCCAAAACGTGAATCATGAAATCAAACAAGGCACTTAACACACGACTCTATCCAAGGTAAGGCTTCCAAAGACCAGGAAAGACATCTTGACTCAATTCCAACATTGCTTCGTCTGACTATAGATTTTGCACTTGGCACTTTTATCCCCTAATCGGCCAGGAATGGATTTCGTTTCAGCCTTGATTCTGTTATCAATCTCTCTCTCAATCTGGCAGAATGCCTGAGAGATTGCTTTGTTTGCCTGTGCTGACTGAAAATATGCCTTCTATCTACTGGCTCACCAATTTCTGCAGCTGGCCCAGGTGCCAAGCTCTTCTTAGGCTCAAAGTCCTGGGAATTCTCTGGTAGGAATTCAGGCCCTCTTCCAAGGACCATACCATCATCCCCAAACCCTTCAGGAACATTATCAGAAAAGACACTTTGAACATTCTCTACATCTAGAGCAACCTCATCATTAGATACACGAACCTCAGAAACATCATTGTCATTCCCAACATCCAGACTACCCTGATCATTAGACACAAACACAGGCTGAACTCCAACAGAAGTTAGAGACACCGCTGAGAAACAAAACAAAGGGACCAAACTTCCCCATTTTTCCCATTTCGAATTCAAACTCTTAACTGAAAAAATGTAAACAAAACAATTAATACCTGAACATTCATAAAACACATTTGAACACATCACTACGCAATTTCTTCCATGTTAAAATGCACTTTCCAAATCATATCCCATTCCCTCAAATGGATTGGCCTCCTCAAATTTTGGGCCCATCTAATCATGCAATTTTTTACAATTTCTGTTTCCGTTGCCCAATCCAATAATTTATCATATATTTTGGTTATCAGTTTTTTCTCTGAGTTTAATATTCTCTCCCATGCGGTTTCTTCTAAGCAAAATCCTATCTTCTTGTCCTGTTTATAGTAGTTCCACAGTTGCATATAATGTAACCATGAAAGGTTCTCAAATTCTTTTTTTAAGTCCTCATGAGATTTTAGCGTTTCAGTATTTTTAACTAGTATGTCCTTATACCTTGGCCAGTTTTGCCACCCTAACAGTCTTCAAATACACCTATGCGACAGACTTAAAAGAAAATTGGTGGAAGATGTTCCATAGGTGACATATGACACCAAAAAAAATTGGCATAATGTACAAAAACGCAGACAACAAATGTTGGAAATGCCAGGAAGAAGAAGGTAGTTATTTCCACATGTGGTGGACTTGTAAGAAAGCACAGGAATTTTGGAAAATCATACATATAGAAACCCAGAAGATTTTAGAAATTACTTTCCCAAGAAAGCCCGATTATTATTTACTAAACATTACAGATTCGGACATTAATTTGGATTTAAATAAGGACATATTATTTACGTATATCGCAACGGCTGCAAGAATAGTCTATGCGAAATTATGAAAATTGGGGGAAATCCCAGAGGTAGAGATCTGGTTTAAGAAAATCTTAGAGATTAAAGACATGGACAAACTAACTTTTTTATTGAAAAAAAACCTCAGGAAATCCAATAAGAGGGACGGATTGGTCTCTCTTTGAAAAATTTATTGAAGAAAAAAAATGTTGGAAGATGAAGGTGAGACTTTAAAATGAAGAATGACGCGGCGAAGTCTCAGAATGGAAGTCAACATTGTATATAATTTCTTTTTTCTTCTCGTTTTGATCGTAGTTTAGCTCTCCCCCTTTGGGTAAATCCTTTAGAAATCCTTTCTTTCTCACTCTTTACTATTTCAAATTGTTCTCACTCTTTCCTTGTAAACCTTATTGATATCTGGAAAACTAATAAAAATTCTTTTAAAAAATGCACTTTCCCCTATATAAAGATTTCTAAAAATGGAGTGCTTCTCAGAATCACAGGTGCTTTTAGATACATACATGTGTGTCTGTCTATATGTAGAAATAATTTTTTTCTGTTGGTGTTACATACTGTACTTATTCAATTCTACAGCACACTTTTTCCCTATATAAACATCTTTGGAAATGGGGTGTGCTGTAGTTCAGCTCATGATTGTGGCTGTTATCAATATAAATGGGGAAGTGGATCACGGGAACTTTAGGTCTGCGAGCCAACATGAGATTTTAAGTCCTGAAAATGATCGGTCTGTGCCTCCAGCAATTAGTGAAGGTCACATTCCAGAGAGGTGCAGAAGAGTTGTTCTCTAGGAAAACGAGTTCAGAGGCAGAAATCCCAGCTGGGAGAATAGTGAGTTGCAAGATAATGAGCTGGTTGATCCGTTTTCGTAAACAATGTGCTGCCCAACAGAATCTCCAAAGGTCCCAGAACTTGTTAGAGGAGAGACCAGGAAGTCATGGGAGAAGGCATGATTTCATGTGTATATTAGAGAAGCCGGGAGGATTTTCCAGCCAGCCTGGTCAATGTTGGTAACTGAGGCAACAGCTCTTGTCAAGTCCTAGTCAAGCTTTCTGATGGAATTATAAGTCCAAACATGCTTCCACGTTTGAAGGACTGTTCTTGGATTTTTTGATTGGATTCTATGTTGCCTTGTACTTCCTGAAATATGCCAGACTAATCTGATCTCTTTTTTCGATAGATAAGAGTTACAAGCTGGATAGATGCAGGGAATGCCGTGGATGTAGCGTACCTGGATTTCAGTAAGGCCTTCGACAAGGTCCCCCATGACCTTCTGGCAAGGAAACTAGTCCAATGTGGGCTAGGCAAAACTACGGCGAGGTGGATCTGTAATTGGTTAAATGGACGAACCCAGAGGGTGCTCACCAATGCTTCCTCTTCATCCTGGAAAGAAGTGACGAGTGGAGTGCCGCAGGGTTCCGTCCTGGGCCCGGTCCTGTTCAACATCTTTATTAATGACTTAGATGAAGGGTTAGAAGGCAGGATCATCAAGTTTGCAGACGACACCAAATTGGGAGGGAGAGCCAATACTCCAGAGGACAGGAGCAGGATTCAAAACGATCTTGACAGATTAGAGAGATGATGGGCCAAAACTAACAAAATGAAGTTCAACAGGGACAAATGCAAGATACTCCACTTTGGCAGGAAAAACGAAATGCAAAGATACAGAATGGGGGACAATGCCTGGCTCGAGAGCAGTACGTGTGAAAAAGATCTTGGAGTCCTCGTGCACAACAAGTTAAACATGAGCCAACAATGTGATGTGGCGGCAAAAAAAGCCAATGGGATTTTGGCCTGCATCAATAGGAGCATAGTGTCTAGATCTAGGGAAGTCATGCTACCCCTATTCAAACATAAGAACAGCCACACCTGGAATATTGTGTCCTATTATGGGCACCACAATTGAAGAGAGATATTGACAAGCTGGAATGTCTCCAGAGAAGGGCAACTAAAATGATCAAGGGTCTGGAGAACAAGCCCTATGAGGAGCAGCTTAAAGAGCTGGGCATGTTTAGCCTGAAGAAGAGAAGGCTGAGAGGAGATATGATAGCCATGTATAAATATGTGAGAGGAAGCCACAGGGAGGAGGGAGCAAGCTTGTTTTCTGCTTCCCTGGAGACTAGGACGCGAAACAATGGCTTAAAACTACAAGAAAGGAGATTCCATCTGAACATGAGGAAGAACTTCCTGACTGTGAGAGCCGTTCAGCAGTGGAACTCTCTGCCCCAGAGTGTGGTGGAGGCTCCTTCTTTGGAAGCTTTTAAACAGAGGCTGGATGGCCATCTGTCAGGGGTGATTTGAATGCAATATTCCTGCTTCTTGGCAGAAAGGGGTTGGACTGGATGGCCCACGAGGTCTCTTCCAACTCTGATTCTATGATTCTATTCCATGATTCTATATATAGAAATGTCTATAGAGGGGATTGGCCTGGATGCCCTTTGGATGCCCCTCCCAAGTAGAATCCTATGAGGATATGAGGGATATAGATACATACACAGAGGGGGACAGACTGGATGCCCCTTGGATAACCCTTTCCAACTCTAGGAGTGTTTGACTTGACGTGTCCCTCACCTGGAATGCAGAGTGCCTTCGGCTTGTTTGGGGCGTGGGAGGGCCCCCCCTTTGCTCTGGAGGGAGATGTAGCTTTCCTGTCCCCATGCTGGAGCAGATGGATCCTTCCTCTCCGCCTGCCCCTCCGACCTTTCCGAGGGGTAGCTGAGGCCGCCACTCATAGAGTCCTGCTTCAGAATCCCTACTCAGAACAGAACAGAACACAGAGACAGAAAAATACAAGCATAAGATCGAGAAAACCCCAGAAAAGTGTCTTGTAGGGCTATTTAGGGAGAGAGATTGCAAAAGGGATGAAGACATATGTCAACATAGCTTTGGTGCATGGGAATTGTAGTTCACCCTGCACCTAGAGCACTCTGAACACCACCAATTACAGATCTAGACCAAACATGGTACACAGAACCCTGGTGACCAACAGAACATACTGGAGTTTTGTTGGGGGACCAACCCACCCAAGTGGGAGTTATAGTTTACCCTGCACCCAGAGCACTCTGAACCCCATCAATGATGGATCTGGGCCAAACATGGAACACAGACCCAACATGCCCAACTATGAATACAGGCAGAGTTTGGGGGTTGTTGTCCTCGGAATCTGGGAGTTGTAGTTCACCTGTGCCCAGAGAAACCGTGGCCCCCACTGACAACAGACCAGGACCAAACTTGGCACAGAGAAGCCCAACTGAACATACTGCAGGGATTTGGGGGAAATCCAAAGACACAAGACATCTAAGAAACCAATGTATGTCCTTCACTCAAAAAAATTGATTTTGTCATTTGGGAGTTGTAGTTGCTGGGATTTATAGTTCACCTACAATCAAAGAGCATTCTGAACCCCACCAACGATGGAATTGAACCAAACTTGGCACACCGTTCTCCCATGACCAACAGAAAATACTGGAAGGGTTTGGTGGGCAGTGTCCTTTGGTTTTCGACTTGTAGTTCACCTACATCCAGAGAGCACTGTGGACTCAAACAATGATGGATCTGGACCAAACTCTACAATAATACCCAATATGCCCAAATGTGAACACTGATGGGAGTTTGGGGAAAATAGAATCTTGACATTTGGGAGTTGTAGTTGCTGGGATTTGTAGTTCACCTCCAATCACAGAGCATTCTGAACCCCATCAACAATAGAATTGGGCCAAACCTCCCACACAGAACCCCCATGACCACCAGAGTGGGCCACAGCAACGCATGGCAGGGGACAGCTAGTCAATAATAAAACAGGAATACCTGTTGGGTGATGGAGTGCGGAAGGATAGAAATCCACGGCAGGGCGGGCCTGGCTCATGCGTGGGTCCATGTAGGAGGGCATCATCATCCAGCGGGGGTCAAAGCCCAGCATCTGCGGAGGTGGTGGGGGGAAGAAGGCCCGCTGCTGCGAAGGGTGCGACGAGGCGGAGGAAGAGGAGCCGGAGGACGAAGAGGAGGAAGAGGCCGCTGGGTAGGCCTGCGAGGGCGAGGAGGACGGCTGCCAGCCCTGCATCTTGTACAGCTGGTCCTGACCCAAAGGGAGAGACAAGGCAAACAAAGGAGTCAAATGTTGGCTAGGAAATTGGTTGGGTGACCAAACCCAAAGGGTTCTTCTCCCCAATGGTTCCTTCTTCTCCATCCTGGAAAGAAGAGATTATCCTGGAAAGAAGAAACTAGGACTACGTGCAAACGGGTTCAAATTACAAGAGAGGCGACTCCACCTGAACATGAGGAAGAACTTCCTGACCGTACAAACTGTTCAACAATGGAACTCTCTGCCTCAGGGTATGATGGAAGTTGGGTAAATAAAGAGTAAAATAATAAATGTAATAACAACAATAATAGAGTAAAATAATAAATGTTATAATAACAATAAAGAGTAAAATAATAAATGTAATAATAATAATAAATAGAGTATTCTGAACGCTACCAACGATAGAATTGAACAAACTTGGCACACAGAACTCCCATGACCAACGGAAAATACTGGAAGGGTTTGGTGGGCATTGACCTTGAGTTTTGGAGTTGTAGTTCGCCTACATCCAGAGAGCACTGTGGACTCAAACAATGATGGATCTGGATCAAACTTGGCATTTGGGAGTTATAGTTGCTGGGATTTATAGTTCACCTATAACCAAAGAGCATTCTGAAGCCCACCAATGATAGAATTAGGCCAAACTTCCCACACAGAACTCCCATGACCAACAGAAAATACTGTCTGTGATAGTCTTTGGCGACCCCTCTGACACCCTCTCGCGACCCCTCCAGGGGTCCCAACCCCCAGGTTGAGAACCACTGGTTTAATCAGAGTTGGACAGCTTTGTCTTAAATTACAATTTTATGTAAATATTTTTGAATATTTACTCTACTGATGCCTCAATTAATGGAATTTTATTGGTATCTATTTCTATTTTGAAACTTACCAGTAGCTCCTGCATTTCTCAACCTTGGCTTATACTCGAGTCAATACATTTTCCCAGTTTTTTGTGGTAAAATTAAGTGTCTCGGCTTATATTTGGGTCGGCTTATACTCAAGTATATACGGTATATAGCGGTATTTTCGGTTTCACCGCTCTCCGAGGTGTTTTTCCTCCTCAATCCTCCCTCCTTCCAGCCTTGAAGGGCCTTTCCTTCCTTTCCTTCACTTTATTTTAACTTTAGAAAGACTTAAAATTGTGTATAACTACTTTTTCACTTATTGTGGGAGGTCCTGGAACATAACCCTAACAATAAATGAGGGAACACTGTATTTGGGAATGCAACTGGCTGAACAGGAGGATGGTCCCTAGGAAAACCCGAATGAGATCGGCACAAGGCGAGGCTCACCTGCTGCTGCTGCTGCCGCTGGAAACGAGGGGGAAGCAGCTTCGAGAACTTGTTGAACTCCTGCCCCGGTGAGGCGGCCTCCCCATTCTCCTCCTCGCTGCTGTTGCTGCGATGGGCCAACGACGTAGCCACAGCCGGGGCCTCTTCTTCCCCGTAACTGGAAGAGGACTCCTGCGTATGCAACTCGGAGTTCCCTGGGAAGAAATAATAATAATAATAAACCTGTATTTATACCCCGCCCCCTCTCCCCAAGGAATTATTATTATTATTATTCCCAAAGAAATGCTTTGCTCTGTATATTTCATGGAACTCAATTTCCATGTGTGTTTGTAGAATGTATATATAGTAATTGTAATAATATTAATAATAATAATAATAATAATAATAATAATAATAGTAATAATAGTAATAATAGTAATAATACATCACACAGTCCTAGACGCTTGGGAACTGTTTGACTTGTGATTTTGTGATACAAAATCCAGCATCTCGCTTGCTGTGACAGACTGTGTTTTTGTATCAGTAAAAGAAATCAGTAAAATAATTCTAAAATAGTTCTCCAGATCCTTGATCGTTTTAGTCGCCCTCCTCTGGACACATTCCAGCTTGTCAACATCTCCCTTCAATTGTGGTGCCCAGAATTGGACACAATATTAGGTGTGGTCTAACCAAAGCAGAATAGAGCATGGGTAGCATGACTTCCCTAGATCTAGACACTATGCGCCTATTGATGCAGGCCAAAATCCCATTGGCTTTTTTTGTGGCTGCATCACATTGTTGGCTCATGTTTAACTTCTTGTCCACGAGGACCCCAAGATCTTCTTCACACATACCACTCTCAAGCCAGGCATTGCCCCCCATTCTGTATCTTTTCATTTATTTTTTTCTGCCTAAGTGGAGTATCTTGCACTTGTCCCTGTTGAACTTCATTTTGTTAGTTTTGGCCCATCTCTCTAATCTGTCAAGATCCCTTTGAATCCTGCTCCTGTCCTCTGGACTATTGGCTATCCCTCCCAATTTGGTGTCGTCTGCAAACTTGATGATCCTGCCTTCTAGCCCTTCATCTAAGTCATTAATAAAGATGTTGAACAGGACCGGGCCCAGGACGGAACCCTGCGGCACTCTGCTCGTCACTTCTTTCCAGGATGAAGAGGAAGCATTGGTGAGCACCCTCTGGGTTCGTCCATTTAACCAATTACAGATCCACCTCACCATAGTTTTGCCTAGCCCACATTGGACTAGTTTCCTTGCCAGAAGGTCATGGGGGACCTTGTCGAAGGCCTTACTGAAATCCAGGTACGCTACATCCACGGCATTCCCCGCATCTACCCAGCTTGTAACTCTATCAAAATAAGAGATCGGATTAGTCTGGCATGACTTGTTTTTGAGAAGTCCATGTGGCCTATTAGCGATGACCACATTTGTTTCTAAGTGTTTGCAGACCACTTCCTTAACAATCTTTTCCAGAATCTTGCCCGGTATCGACGTGAGGCTGACCGGACGGTAGTTGTTTGGGTCATCCTTTTTTCCCTTCTTGAAGATTGGGACCACATTGGCCCTCCTCCAATCTGCTGGAACTTCTCCCGTTCTCCAAGAACTCTCAAAGATTATTGCCAATGGTTCCGAAATGACTTCCGCTAGTTCCTTCAATACTCTTGGGTGTCGTTGATCTGGCCCTGGGGGCTTGAACTCATTTTGAGCGGCCAGATATTCCTGGATGACTTGTTTCCCAATTTGGGATTGGATGTCCTCTAATCCCTCATCCACTCCATATTCCTGAGGTTGAAGATGACTTTCTTTTTGTGAGAAGACCAAGGCAAAGAAGGTATTAAGTAGTTCTGCCTTTTCCCTATCCCCTGTCAGCACTGCCTCATCTTCTCCTTGAAGAGGCCCTATCGCCTCCTTGTTCTTCCTTTTTTTCTACTGACATAAGAAAAGAAGCCCTTTTTATTGTTTTTAATGTCCCTGGCAAGCCTGAGCTCGTTTTGTGCTTTAGCCTTGCGGACCTTTTCCCTACAGGAGTTGACTATTTGTTTGAATTCTTCTTTGGTGATTTCTCTCTTTTTCCACTTCTTGTGCATGTCTCTTTTGTGTCTTAGCACAGTTAGAAGTTCTTTGGACATCCATTCTGGCTTCTTTGCACTTGTCCTATTTTTTCTCTTTGTTGACACAGTTTGCAATTGTGCCTTGAGTATTTCACTCTTGAGAAACGCCCATCCATCCGTAACTCCCTTGTTTTTTAGTATCTGTGTCCACGGAATGCTGCTCAGTGTTTCCTTCATTTTTTGGAAATCAGCTCTCCTAAAGTCCAAAATGCGGGTTTGACTTGTCTTAGTTTCGGCCTTCCTTTGTACCTCAAATTGCAGGAGCACATGGTCACTTGCCCCTAAGGATCCGACCACTTCGATCAGGTCCTCCACATTTGTTAGGATGAGATCAAGAGTAGCCAACCCCCTTGTTGCATCTTCTATCTTCTGGACCATGAAATTGTCTGCAAGACAAGCGTTGAATTTGTTGGATTCTGTTCTCTTGGCCGAGTTTGTTTTCTAGCAAATATCAGGATAGTTGAAATTACCCATGACTACTACATCTCTTCTCTGTGCCTGTTTGGTCAACTGTTGGCAGAAGACTTCATCAAGTTCTTCCTCCTGGCTTGGAGGTCTGTAGTAGATGCCTACAACAACATCTTTTTAAGTCCCAGTTCCCCTGATTCTTATCGAGATGCTTTCAAGCTGGTTTCCCGGATTGCTATCTTGAAGATGGCTTTCTTTTTGTGAGAAGACCGAGGCAAAGAAGGCATTAAGTAGTTTTGCCTTTTCTCTATCCTGTCAGCACAGCTTCAGCCTGTTGGCCCTCATCCAGCCCATCACAGTGGCCAGGAACTGGTTCAGGATCCGAGGGGCTTGTGTTTGTGTGTGTGTGTGTTTTAACTGGGCTGTGGCCTGCCTCGAAGCATGGGGAGAGGCGGTAAGAAATAACATGATGCTTCTTACCTCTGCGGGTGGTGTGGCGGTGGCTCTCCGCGGTTGCAGGGGCATTCTTCTCAGGACGGGGCCCCCTGTCCTCCTGCTGCTGCTCCTTGGGCCCCTCCACGGCTGCCTTCTGTGCCTTCTTGCACTTCTGGTCCAGTTCCTTCAGCTTGGCGGCACAGGCGGCCAGGCGCTCCTCCCGAGCCCGGCGCTCCTCCTCCTCACGCCGCTTGCGAGCCCGCTCTACCGCCTCCGACATCTCCGACTGCAGGAACTTCTGCCGCAAGGCAAGCGGAGGCAACGGTGGCGGCTGCTGCTGCTTCTCCTCTTTCTCCTCCGAGGAAGACGATGACTGGCGGAGGCAAGGCCCTGGGGGAAGCTTCTGGAAGGGAGACAAGGAAGGCACTCAGGACAACCCATTGGCCGCCCTCCCCAAAGGCTCTAAAACTGGCATCCATTTGAGACTAGGCAGAGATATGAGCTGTTTTGAGTCTCCTTGGGTGGTATAAATAATAATAATAATAATAATAATAATAATAATAATAATAATAATATAACAAAACTTAACACAGGGAAACTCCAGACAGGAATATATATATATATATATATATATATACACACACACACACACACACACACACACACACACACACATACACACACGCACGCACACACATATATATACACACACACACACATATAATGTAATATATTATAATGTAATATAATACTACTAATCATACAATACAATACAATATAATATAATAAACATGTTGTATTATTTTAATACTAATACATTAAATGTTTTTACTAGGCATGTGCAATCCATGGTTCTAAAGTACTTGCAAAACTAAAGTTCTGGTGGTGGAAACTAGGGGACGCTGATGCTTTGCTTCTACAGTGTTGCTAAAGTTCTGGTGGTGAAACTTTCAGAGCTCTAACACCATTTTGAAAATATAATTTCATTATAAATGGCAGTTCCTAATAGGTTCTGTCATAAAAAATCACCAATAATGAAATAATAATGAAATTTTGAAAGTTTTGTTAGCGTTCTGAAATTTTCACCACCAGAACTTTAGCAACACTTTAGAAGCAAAGCACCAGCGCCCCCTAGTTTTCACAACCAGAACTTTAGTTTTGTAGGTACTTTAGAACCATTTAGAACCACGGATTGCACATGCCTAGTAATTACTACTGAAAATATATAACAGTAAATAAAGAACAAAACTCAAACACAGGGGAACTCCAGACAAGAAACAATCAAGAACAGCTAATCACCTCTCAACAAAGGATTCCCCCAGGCAGGAGATTATATATATATATATACACACACACACACACACACACACACACACACAATGTAATATAATAAATATATAATACTATAGCATAATATAATATAATACTAATAATAATACAATATAATATATAATAATAATATTGAAATATAGTAATACTAATACATTAAATGTAATTACTATTGGTAATATATAAGTAAATAAAGAACAAAACTCAAAACACAGGGAAATTCGTTAAAAAACAGCCAATGTGATTTTCTGGATATGTTTTCTCATGTTGTCTCTCATAGTTGAGGTCTACCTATGATGTCAATTACAGGCCTCTCTCATCTTTTTAAGTGAGAGAACTTGTACAACTGGTATCTGACTAAATACACCCCCACTGTGTGTGTACACACACACACACAAGCCGTCCCCTGCCATGCATTGCTTTGGCCCAGTCTGCGTATATGCATTTTGTGTGTGTATATGTGTGTTTGCATACATATAAGTGGCTTTGCGCATGCGGTGTAATGTACTTTTTGGTTTTTTTGGCTTTTTAATTCCCGTCCACTGTGTTTTTCAGTGTTTTTATGAGTGGTTTATGAGTTATGTTAATTCCACAAACGAACATTACATTTTTAGTTATACAGATATAGATATAGATATATATACAGATAGATAATATAATAAAATTAATACTATATAGTATAATACTAATACTAATCTATATAAATAAAAATGTAATATGCCAAATTTGGTGTCAATTCGTCCAGTGGCTTTTGAGTTATGTTAATCCCACAAACGAAAATTACATTTTTAGTTATACAGATGTAGATATATATACAGATAGATAATATAATAAAATTAATACTATATAGTATAATACTAATACTAATCTATATAAATAAAAATGTAATGTTTGTTTGTGGGATTAACAGAACTCAAAAGCCACTGGACGAATTGACACCAAATTTGGACACAAGACACCTAACAACCCAATATATGTCCTTCACTTAAAAAATTATGATTTTGTCATTTGGGAGTTGTAGTTGCTAGTATTTATAGTTCAACTACAATCAAAGAACATTCTGAAACGCACCAGTGATGGAATTGAACCAAACTTGGCACACATTTCTCCCATGACCAACAAAAAATACTGGAATGGTTTGGTGGGCAGTGTCCTTTAGTTTTGGAGTTGTAGTTCACCTATATCCAGAGATCACTGTGGACTCAAACAATGATGGATCTGGACGAAACTCTACACAAATACTCAATATGCCCAAATATGAACACTGGTGGAGTTTGGGGAAAATAGAATCTTGACATTTGGGAGTTGTAGTTGCTGAGATTTATAGTTCACCTACAATCACAGAGCATTCTGAACCCCACCAACGATAGACTTGGGGAAAACCTCCCACACAGAACCTCCTTGACCACCATAGTGGGCCACAGCAACGCATGGCAGGGGACGGCTAGTAATATATAAGATTCCTCTCCCTTCCTGTTGTCTCAGTTCCATTCTTAACTAGGAGATGTTTGTAAGTGGGATGTCTGTAACTCGGGGACGGCCTGTACACGAACAAATGAAGGGGTGTGAACAACATGAAGCCTTCTCTTTTCCTTCCGCAAGGCTCCTACCTGCGAGTCAGGGAGGGGGGCCCAGCCGTTGACCTTCCTGGGGGCTGCGGGGGCAACGTCGGGTGCTTTGCGGAGGGGCCGTGAGAGTCCAGCCGCGTCGTTCCAGGCCTTGGCCTCCTCCTGGGCCGGGTGCCGGGCCTCAGTGCTCTCTGCCGAACTCAGGGACAACTGTCTCTGCCGACGGGGGTCCCAGCTGTTCCTGCAGGTGAGAATTGGAAAATAATACAATTGAAAGAGATCATATAAGTCATCTACTCCAGTGGTTCTCAACCTGTGGGTCCCCAGGAGTTTTGACCTACAACTCCCAGAAATCCCAGCCATTTTGTCAGCTGTTAGGATTTCTGGGAGTTGAAGGACAAAAACATCTGGGGACCCCAGGTTGAGAACCACTGCTCTAGATGGAGAGAATGACAATGGGATTCCTGTTCAAAGTGTCTTTTGTGATAATGTTCCTGAAGTGCCGGGTCCCCAAGCTAGTAAATAATAAAATAAACTTCCCAGGTGACTTTCAATTTCCTGTTGGCCTCACGGTTGCGTAGGTGGAAAGCACATACGTGTGCTTTCCATTTATGCAACAGCTAATCACCTCTCAACAAAGGATTTTTCCCAGGCAGTAAGAAGCCACACCTAAAAACTGTCAGGGCTTTAAATGCGAATCAAGGTGGCCAGTTGAAACATTCAAGCCTGCCTCCAACAGACAAGAGTTCTTTCTCCCACCCTGGACCTTCCACAGATATATAAACCCAATGTTCCTAGTTTCCAACAGACCTCAGAACCTCTGAGGATGCCTGCCAAAGATGTAGGCGAAATGTCAGGAGAGAATGCTTCTGGAACATGGTCAGACAACCCAAAAAACCTACAACAACCTAGTGATTCCGGCCATGGAAGCCTTCAACAATGGTGATATCAACTGTAATAACAGAAGTAGTAATAATAGTTTCTGAAACTTTTCCTCCTAACACTGCAAGTTCGCTTGCCCTGGACTAAAGAGCATCCCTGTATTTTTCCAAGGTTGGTCATCATTAAAGCAGAACCTGGGATTAATACTCACCATTTCGGCCTTCCGTCCTTGAGGGTTTCCTCCTCTTCCTCGTCTTCACTGAACTTCAGTTTCTCGGAGTAATCCACTTCGTCATGGATGCCTGAAGCAGCAGCGAAAAAAAGGAAGGACGGAAGGAAGGAGAGATGGATGGAGAGAGCAGAAGGTCACCATGACTTCTCTGTACCTCTGAGGATACTTTCTGAAAGTTTGGGAAAGATTTAAAGGAGGGAGCGGCATGCTATCCCGGCTGCTGTAGGGTTAATTTCCTTACCTGCCCAGCTGTCGTCTGCATCGTTGTCGAGTTCATCCAGCCCTTTTAGGTTCTCTGCATTGATGATGGTGGGTCGGGGCACGCGCTCCCCCTGTGGGCGGGCCGGGCGGGTTGGGCGGGAGGCCCCAAGCCGGGGGTCTTTCCTGCAAATTATGAGGAAATCACACAATCACAGCACTGGAAGGAGGTTTTTAAGCAGAGAAGGCCTGGGATTGGATGGTGCCTTCCTGAAAATTTAAATTGGGGGCAGACTAGATGGCCTTTTGGGGCCCCTTCTAACACCATTGGAGGCTCCTTCTCTGGAGTCTGGAAGGCCATCTTTTGGGAGGGATCAGATTGTGGTTTTCCTGCGGAATGGGGTTGGTTTGGATGACCTCTGAGGATCTCTTACAACTCTCAAAGTCTTTGATTTCACAATTCTATTTCTCCACAAACCCACTAATGTCTATGAGGCTGGATGACCATCTGTCGGGAGAGATCAGGTTGTTGTTTTTCCTGCCTGGTAAGCGGATTAGACTGGATGTTTATTTATACCCTGCTTTTTCTTTCTACAAGTGACTCAGAGACTTATTATTTGATATTATGATGATTATTGTTATGTTTATTTATACCCAGATTTCTCTGTCGTACTCCAGAGCAGAATCACTTCTGACTTTCAATACCCCACCAGCTGGGTAAAATCCCCCCACCTTAGAAACTTTCTTCTTCCTTCCTTCTTTTTCCTTCCTCCTTCCCTTCCTTCCATCCATCCCTCCCTTTTGTATTTCCTTCCTTCTCTTTCCTTCCTCCTTCTTATTCCTTCCATCCTTCTCTTCAACACTTTTGTCCTTTCTTCCCTCTTTTCATCTTCTCTCCCTTTCTCTTTCTTTCCTTCCTTCATCCTTCCCTTCCTTCCTTCCATCTCTTCCTCCTTTTCTTCCTTCCTCCTTCCCTACTTTTTGTATTTCCTTCCTCCTTCCCTCCCTCCCTCTTATTCATTCCATTCTTCCCTTCCACACTTTTGTCCTTCTTTCCCTCTTTTCTCTCCCTTTCTCTTTCTTCCTTCTTCCATCCTTCCCTTCCTTCTTTCAATTTTCCTCCTTTTCTTCCTTCCTCCTTGCCTTCCTTCCATCCTTTCCTCCCTTTTGTATTTCCTTCCTTCTCTCTTTCCTTCCTCCTTCCCTTCCTCTTTATTCCTTCCATCCTTCGCTTCCACACTTTTGTCCTTCCTTTCCTCTTTCCTCCCTCTTCCTTTCTCTTTCTTTCCTTCCTTCATCCTTCCCTTCCTTCCTTCTCTTCTTCCTTTTCTTCCTTCTATTCCTTCCTCCTTCCCTCCCTCTTTTCCTTCCATTCCCTTTTTCCTTTCCCTCTTTTCTCCCTCTCTCCTTTCTTTCTTTTTCTTCCTTCCCTTCTCTTTCTTCTCTTCCCTTTTCTTCCTTCTTCTTTTTCTTCCTTCTTTCCCTTCCTCCATCCTTCTTCCTTTTTCCTTCCTTCTCTCTTCCTTCTTCCTTCCCTTCCACACTTTTGTCCTTCCTTCCCTTTTCTCTCCTCTCTTTCCTCTTCCTTTTCCTCTTTTTTTCCACCTCTTCCTCCTTTCTTCTTTCCCTCTCTTCTCCTTCTTCTTCCATCTCTCCTTCCCCTTCCCTTCTCCCTTTGTCCTTCCTTTCTTCTCTTTCCTTCCTCCTTCCCTTCCACACTTTCCTTCCTTCCTTCCTTTCTCCCTCTTTTCTCCATTCTCTTTCCTTCTCTTCCCCTCTTCCTTCCATCTCTTCCTCCTTTTCTTTCCTTCTCTTTTTCCTTCCACCCCCTCCCTCTTATTCCTTCCATCCTTCCCTTCCACACTTTTGTCCTTCCATCCTTCCCTCTTTTCTCCCTCTCCCGTTCTTTTTTCTTTCTTCCTTCCTCCTTCCCTTCCTTCAGTCCTTATCTTCAGCCTTTCATCCTTCCTTCTCTTTTGTCTTTTCTTCCACCCTTCCCTTCCTTCCTTCCATCCTTCCTTCCATCTCTCTTCCCTTCCTTCCATCACTGGGCAGCCAGTCCTCCTAGCAGGGAGTGCTGGCATGCAACCACAAAGTTAGAAAGTTTGCCCAGGCTTGCATGTAGTTAGTTGAAATAAGTCACGTATAACAATACAGCAAATAAATATAATACAACTGAGTCTCTACAGTGTTCTCTTGCTAGTTCGTGGTTCGTTTTAGCGGACTCGCTGTTTTCGCGATTTTCAAAAAATATTAATTCAAAATATATATTGCGGCATTTCTGCTGTTTTGCGGGTTTTTGCCACCGCCACTCTCCAAGGCGCTTTCCCTCCTCAGCACTCCCTCCCTCCAGCCTTGAAGGATCTTTCCTTCACTTTATTTTAAGTTTATAAAGACTTAAAATAGTGTATAACTACTAAAATAATGTATAAATATTAAAATAAATATTGCGGTTTTACACTTTTCACGGGAGGTCCTGGAACGTAACCCCCGCAATATGTGCGGGAACACTGTACATCATATTTCCTACTCACCCCTACAATTTACCCCGATCAGCCCCACGTACATACTATTATTATTCTGATAGTGTTCCTCCGGAAGGAAGCTGGACTTCTTACCCGTCTTGGTCGCTGGTTTGGTATTGTCTGAAGGGGATGCGGGGCTCCAGGCGGAACTGGGGCATCGGGAAGCAGGAGGAAGAGGAGGAGCCGCGCTGGAGCGGAACTGGGGGCTCGGGTTGCTTCGAACACATCTAAAAAAGGAGAGAGAAGGCATCAAACCCACAGCCCACCAACGCTGCTCTAGCACCAACTGATAAATGAGTTCAGGGAACATAAACAAAAGGCCTGCCCGGCTGGCCATAAGACCTAAATACATACGCCCTTTGAATCCTTTTGAAGAGATTGGAGAGGTCACTAAATGCAAAAAAAAACTTTGGGCTATTTCCATAACAGACTGGAGAAGTCAAGAAATAGAAGGGGATTGGACTAGATAGCTTCTTAAAGGATTGGGAAGCCCAGGAAATACAAGACTAGATATCCCTTGAGGTTCCTTAAGAGATTGGAGAGGTCAGGAAATAGAAAGGGTATGGACTAGATATCCCTTTAGGACCCTTAAGTGATTGGTGACACCAATAAATGCAAAAAGATTGGATTCGATAGACTTTAGAGTCCAATAAGAAATTTAGAGATATAAAAATATCTCTAAAACCGGAACTATTCTTATTGGGCATGACGAAACTAAAAAGGGATAAAAATACGGACAAATTACTATTTTTACTAACAACAGCGGCTAGAATATACTATGCTAAGCTATGGAAATTAGATAAAATACCAGATATAGAAGAATGGACACAAAAATACTTGATATAAGAAACATGGACAGGCTCACATATCTACTATCTAGACATAAAGATACACCGACAAAAGAAACAAATTGGGAAAAAGTTACAGAATATTTAAAAAAGAAGAATTATAAGACAATAATTTAAAATAACTGGACTAGACCTCAAACGAAAGAAGGAAGGAAATTGTATAAACAAAGAAGAAAAAGAAAAAGAAAAGGAAGACACCCCAAATAACGATACCCAGGAAGTCATGAAGAATTCTAATTATTATTACTTATTTATTTATTTCTTCTTGTTATAACTATCTTTTCCTACTGTCCTATCTCCTTGCAAATATTCCCCCACTTTCCCTGTAACTTCAGAAAACACTCAATAAAAATCATATTAAAAAAAAGAAATTGGAAGAGGCCAAGAAATAGAAGGGGGTTGGACGAGATAGCTTTTGGAGACCCTTAAAGAGACTGGAGAGGTCAAAACATAGAAGGGGGTTGGACTAGATAGCCTTTGGAGTCCCTTAAAGAGACTGGAGAGGTTGGACTAGATTGCCTCTTAAGGAATTGGGGAGTCTAGGAAACATAAGGGGTTGGACTATATATCTCTTTAGATCCCTTAAGAGACTGGAGAGCCCAAGAAATAGAAGTGTTTGGAATAGATAGCCTCTGAAGGGAGCAGAGAACCCGGGAAATACAAGGGGGTTGAACTAGATAGCTCTTGGCATCCCTTAAGAGACTGGAGAGGCCAAAAATGCAAAAAGGTTGGACTAGATAGCCTTTGGAGTCCCTTAAAGAGACTGTAGAGGTGAGGAAATAGAAGGGATATGGGCTAGATATAACCTTTAAGAGATTGAGGAGCCCAGGAAATACAAAGGGGTTTCATTAGCCTCTTAAGGGATGGGGGAGTCAAGGGAAAAGAAGGGTGAGACTAGATAGCCTTTGGAGTCCCATAATAATAATAATAATAATAATAATAATCTTTATTTGTACCCCACCACCATCTCCCCAACGGGGACTCGGGGCGGCTGACATGGGGCCAAGCCCAACAACACAACAAAATAAAATCAGAACATAAACAACAACATAATCAATTACATAAAACATACACTATAAAATATTACAACCAATATACGATAGAAGAACACAAAAAAGAGACTGCAGAGGCCAAGAAACAGAAAGGGTATGAACTAGATAGCCTCTGAAGGAATTGGGTAGCCCAGGAAATACAAGGGCTTGGATTAGATAGCATCTTAAGAGATTGGAGAGTCTGGGAAATACAAGGGAGTTGGACTAGATATCCCTTTAGGACCCCTAAGAGTCTGGAAAGGTCAAGAAACAGAAGTAGCCTGGACTAGATAGCATCTTAAGGGATTGGAGAGCCCAGGAAATACAAGAGGTTGGACTAGATAGTCTTTGGAGTTCCTTAAGAGACTAGGGAGGTAAGGAAATTCAAGGGGGTTGGACTAGATATCCCTTTAGGACCCCTAAGAGGCCAAGAAACAGAAGGGTGTTAGACTAGATAGCATTTTAAAGGATTGGGGAGCCCAGGAAATACAAGAGGTTGGACTAGATAGTTTTGGAGTTCCTTAAGAGACTGGGGAGATTAGGAAATATAAGGAGGTTGGACTAGATATCCCTTCAGGACCCCTAAGAGTCTGGAGAGGCCAAGAAACAGAAGAGGGTTGGACTAGATAGCATCTTAAGGGATTGGGGAGCCCGGGAAATACAAGGAGGTTGGACTAGATAGTCTTTGGAGTTCCTTAAGAGACTGAGGAGGTAAGGAATTACAAGGAGGTTGGACTAGATATCCCTTTAGGACCCCTAAGAGGCCAAGAAACAGAAGGGCGTTGGACTAGATATCCCTTTAGGACCTCTAAGAGTCTGGAGGCCAAGAAACAGAAGGGGGTTGGACTAGATAGCGTCTTAAGGGATTGGGGAGCCTGGGAAATATAAGGAGGTTGGACTAGATTGTCTTTAGTGTTCCCTTAAGAGACTTGGGAGGTAAGAAAATTCAAGGGGGTTGGACTAGATATCCCTTTAGGACCCCTAAGTGTCTGGAGAGGCCACGAAACAGAAGAGGGTTGGACTAGATAGCATAGCGGATTTTCACTTTTCGCGGGTGCTCCTGGAATGTAACACCCGGAATAAGTGACGGAATAATAATACTAATAATAATAATAAACACTGTTTATAACAACAAGGAAGAGGCGCACAACCCAGGGGAGCCTGTGGTGTGTTTGGACTCACAAAAGCGGGCAGCATGTCGTGGTAGGTGGGCGGCTGGTAGAGGCCGGCCCCGAAGGGGGAGGCGGGCCCTTTGCGGAGGAGGAGGGGCTGCGTGGGGCGGAGGGAGGGCTCCTTGGGGTCGGAGGGGGGCCCTTCTGCGGCCGCCAAAGCCTTGCTGCTGCTTCCGCCGCCGCCCAGCTCACTCGGGGAGGCGCCCAGCGGCGGGGCAGAGGGGATGTTCCTGCCGCCGCCCTCCCTCCAACTCGTCACGTCTGGGGAAGCAGAACAGACGACAGCGTCAAAGACTTACTGCAGTACCTCTCCACCAATCCACTCGCAAAGAAAATGCATATTTCATGACCTGGGCTGCTGCAGCTCCGCAAAAGTTGATAATGAAAACGGCACACCAAAAAACTCTCCCTTTGAATTGTTCCACTTCACCTTTGGGTTCATCACAGGTCAAACAGCTCGTAATAATAGGGTTCATATTGAGATAATAATAATAATAACAATTTTTAAAATAGAATTTTATTTCTTTATTTATATCCCATTTTCTCTCTCCCTATGAAGGCTCACAGTGGCTCACAACCAAAAATCATTACAATCTAAAATATACAAATATCTAAGAATAAAACAGTAAATCATTATATATTATAAGTAGTACACACATTTAATGTATTAGTATTATTATATTACATTATTATATTGTATTATTATTAGTACTATATTGTTTTACAATATTATCAATTACTATCATAGCACAATAGTAATATTATATTTTGCTATAACATACTATACCACTATACTCCAATATAATTAGTAATAACCCATGTAATATATAATATACAATTATTAGATATATTATGTATTATATTGTACTATAAAAAGTAAACGTTTTCCCCTGACATTAAGTCTAGTTGTGTCGGACTCTGGAGGTGGTGCTCATCTCCATTTTCTAAGTTGAAGAGCCAGCGTTGTCCGCAGACACCTCCAAGGTCATGTGGTCAGCATGACTTCATGGAGCGCTGTTAAGTTCCCTCTGAGGTGATACCAATTGATCTACTCACACTTGCATGTTTTTGAACTGCTAGGCTGGCAGGAGCTGGGGCTAACAGAGGGAGTTCACGCCACTCCCTGGATTCGAACCTGAGACCATTTGATCAGCAAGTTCAGCAGCTCAGCTTTTTAACCCACTGCACCACCGGGGGGCTCCTTATATTGTACTATATTATACCACAATATATATAATACACTGCCGGTATATTACATTATTAATATTATATTATATATTGTTCCATATCATAAGTTATAGTGTATATATTATATTACAACATTATTAATATTATATATAATATATTAGTATTAAAGGTAAATGATGTCATAATAATCCAATAATCTAATAAAATCATTTCCTAATAAAAATATAATAATAATAATCTAATAATAGACTCATCATCTAAAGGTAAAGGTAAAGGTTTCCCCTTGATATTAAGTCTAGTTGTGTCCAACTCAGGGGGGTGGTGCTCATCTCCATTTCTAAGCCAAAGAGCTGGCATTGTCCGTAGACACTTCCAAGCCCATGTGGCTGGCATGACTGCATGAAGCATCATTACCTTCCCACTGGAGCAAACAACAGGAGTTCACCCCGCTCCCTGGATTCGAATCACCAACCTTTCGGTCAGCAAGCTTGGCAGCTCAGCGGTTTAACCCGCTGTGTCACCGGGTTATTAATATTATTACATTACAATGTAATAATATATACCAAGACTTATGTTATAATTGTGTACACTTTGGATACAACAACAATAACAACAATAATAGTAATTTTTTAAAAATAATGTACTCTGGGGGCGGAGGCTTGGTCCGGGCCCATACGACGGATCTAAGGCGCCCTTTTCTCTGCCAGCCTTGTCCTGCTCGCCGGCTGCCTTCAGCGTCGGAAATTCCTCGGGAGAGAAGGATAACAGTCGGCTTGAGGCCCTTGAACCTGCCAGGGGAGAAGGCAAAACCATCAGCAAGGCCCCGTCTCGCTTTCAAGGAACTGTTTCCCGCCCAATGACTGTATTCCTATCAACAATAATAGTAACAATAACAGAATAATAACAGTAACAGTAAAAATAGTAATAACAGTAACAATATTCTAATCTTCTATGAATAATAACAGTATTAAATAAGAATAAATAGGAATAACAACAATAGTAATAATAACAAGAGTGATAATAGTAATAATAAAACAGTAATAATAGTAATAACAGTAACAATATTCTATTCTCCTATGAACAGTAATAACAATAGCAGTAATAAATAGGAATAAATAGGAATAACAACAATAGTAATAATAACAAGAGTAATAATAGTAATAATAAAACAGTAATAATAGTAATAACAGTAACAATATTCTATTCTCCTATGAACAGTAATAACAATAGCAGTAATAAATAGGAATAAATAGTAATAACAATAGTAATAATATCAGAAATAATAGTAACAGTAATAATAGTAATAACAGTACAATATTCTATTCTATGAATAGTAATAGCAGTAATAGTAATAATAGTAATAATAATGTATTGTCGAAGGCTTTCATGACCGGAATCACTGGGTTGTTGTAGGTTTTTTCGGGCTATATGGCCATGGTCTAGAGGCATTCTCTCCTGATGTTTCGCCTGCATCTATGGCAAGCATCCTCAGAGGTAGTGAGGTCTGTTGGAACTAGGAAAGGGTTTATATATCTGTGGAATGACCAGGGTGAGACAAAGGACTCTTGTCTGCTGGAGCTAGGTGTGAATGTTTCAATTGATCACCTTGATTAGCATATAATGGCCTGACATTGCCTAGCAAACTTTTGTTGAGAGGTGATTAGATGTCCTTGTTTGTTTCCTCTCTGTTGTTGTGCTGTTAAATTTTTTTTAAAGTTTTTTAGCATTGGTAGCCGGATTTTGTTCATTTTCATGGTTTCCTCCTTTCTTTTGAAATTGTCCACATGCTTGTGGATTTCAATGGCTTCTCTGTGTAGTCTGACATGGTGGTTGTTGGTATGGTCCAGCATTTCCATTTCCCTACTTCCAACAGACTCACTACCTCTGAGAATGCTTGCCATAGATGCAGGCGAAACGTCAGGAGAGAATGCCTCTAGACCATGGCCATATAGCCCGAAAAAACCTACAACAACCCAGTAATAATAACAGTAACAGTAATAATAATAACTGTAACAATATTCTATTCTTCTATGAATAGTAATAACAATAACAGTAATAATAGTAATAACAGTAATAACAATAGTAATAACAGCAACAGTAATAATAGTAATAACAGTAACGATATTCTATTATTCTAGAACAGTAATAACAATAACAAATAGTAATAATCGTAACAGTAACAATAAAATAATAATAGTAACAATAATAACAATGTTAATAATACCAATAACAATAGTAATAATACTAATAAAAATGAGTAATATTAATAGTAATAGTAATACAGTGTTAAAGTAATTCTAAAACCCGCTCACATTATGATTATTCCAACCTTTTGTATATTTTGAGCCCCATCTTTCACTCGTTCTTCCTGTTTCATGTTTACAAACAACGATTCATCGATTTGTTTTTCACTCACCACCTTCGTGTCCGGCTGGCCTTCCATTCAGCTGTGCCCATGACTTTGGTCCACCTGGCGCTAAATTTGGATTCTGCAAGAAATAAGAATTATTATCATTATTATTATGTTGTTACCATTATATTTTACCATTATATTATTGTTGTTAGTTATTATTGTTACCATTATTATGTTATTACCATTGTTTTGTTATTATTACTACTATTTTATTACTATTTATTTATTATTTGACTTGTATACCACCACTCCCAATTTGGCTCAGAGCGGTTTACAGCAGTAGATTAAAACAATACAACCAACTTTAAAATATAATAAAAACGAGAACAGACATAGTCCCGAGTTATATATACACACATATATACACACAAAACACATATATACAGACTGGGCCACAGCAACGCGTGGCAGGGGGCAGCTAGTGTAATATAAAATATATAATTAAAATATTGTATTATTATTATGAGTATTATATTGTATTACATTATATAGCATCCCTACTTCATGGATTTTCACTTTTCACAGGTGGTTATAATTATCAACATATGTATATACATTAGAATATATTATAATATATTATATCAGTGGTTCTCAACCTTCCTAATGCCGCAACCCCTTAATACAGTTCCTCATGTTGTGGTGACCCCCAACCATAACCCTAACATTATGAATCACCATGTAAATAATGATCTTCACCCCCAACCATAATCCTAACATTATGAATCACCATGTAAATAATGATCTGCAGGATGTATTTTCATTCACTGGAGCAAATTTGGCACAAATACCCGGTATGCCCAAATTTGAATACTGGTGGGGTTGGCGGGGAAATTGCTTCTGTCATTTGGGTGTTGTAGTTGCTCAAATTTGAATACTGGTGGGGTTGGTGGGGGGATTGATTTTGTCATTTGGGAGTTGTAGTTGCTGGGATTTACAGTTAACCTGCAAACAAAGAGCATTCTGAACCCCACCAACAATGGAATTGAACCAAACTTGGCACACAGAACTCCCATGACCAACAGAAAATACTGGAAGGGTTTGGTGGGCATTGACCTTGAGTTTGGGAGTTCTAGTTCACCTACATCCAGAGAGCACTGTGGACTCAATGATGGATCTGGACCAAACTTAGTACGGATACTCAATATGCCCAAATTTGAACACTGGTGGAGTTTGGAGGAAAACTTGGCACGGATACTCAATATGCCCAATGTGAAAACTGACGGGGTTTGGGGAAAATAGACTTTGACATTTGGGTGTTGTACTTGCTGGGATTTATAGTTCACCTACAATCAAGGGGCGTTCTGAACCCCACCAATTATAGAATTGGGCCAAAGTTCCCACACAGAACCCCCATGACCAACAGAAAATACTGTGTTTTCTGATGGTCTTTGGTGGCCCCTCTGACACACCTTCATGACCCCTCCAGGGGTCCCGACCCCCAGGTTGAGAAACACTGTATTGTATTATATTATATTATATCATATCATTAGCAGAGTGCAGGAGACAAGGTAGACACTTTGCTACAACTAGTAGAGGCGCCATGGCATTCTGCTCTGCCCAAGGCTTTGCATCAAACATAAGGATGCTCTTGTACATCAGAAGATGCCACTAAGCAGAAAGGCGCAGATGGCCCTTACTGTGTTTCTAAAGGTATTTGGGAGCTGGAAAAGGTAACCCAGAAGGCTAAAGGTGGACCAAAAGTGGCAAGGAGAGCTCCAATTTGGAGAAAGGCAAAGCAAGCAGGGCCATCTCACCTCCTGGTTGATGGACTGTGTCAGCTTCTGTAAACTGGAGACAGATTTCTGCAAATCCGGCGGCTGCAGCGACTCCGGCGGCTGTGTGGCCGTGGCACCGGAACTGCAGACAAAAAAAGGGAAATGTTGGCGGGAGCAAAAAAAAACCTAATAATAGGAGCTGAAGTCCAAAACACCTGAAGGGCCAAAGTTTGCCCATGCCTGGAGTATCACCTCAACGCAATGGGGAGCGGGGTGCCTACCTCTTTTGGTCGGGGGGCTCCTGCTTGTTTGCCCATCCTGTTCCGTCTTTGGGTACGATGATGATGTTGGGGTCGTTGCCTTTGTTCTCCGACTTCAAACTGGGCAAGTTGGCAGGAGGCGGCATGCGCCGGGCAGCGGCAACTTTTCCAAGACTCTGCAAGCCATGCCTAGGAATAACTGGGCAAGCAGAGCAATGAATAAGGAGGGGAAGCGCGGGAGTTACAGACGTCGGGCAGCCTTTGCAGGCTTCTCATTAATCACATAAATAAAATCTATCTAAATAAAAATGTCAATGTCCGTTTGTGAACGACCTCAAATCTCCCAAAATACTTCACCAATTGCTTCAAAATTTGGACACAACGTAGCAATTGAACAGGCAAATGTTTTTATGTATTCACATACCTACTATTATATTGATGTCACATCTGTGACAGGTAAAAACATGCTTGGCATCCAAAATAGTGCCATCTACTGGACGTCCAAGCAACACATCATGAAGTAATGTGTTCCCACCTGCGTCGCAGGTGCGTTTGGTAGGGACGAGGGACAGGGCCTTCTCTGTAGTGGCCCCCCAACTCTGGAACTCTCTCTCTAAGGATATAAGACAGGCCCCAACGTTGGCTGTCTTTAGGAAGAGCCTGAAGCCCTGGCTGTTCCAGTGTGCCTTCCCAGAATAGGAAACTCCTGGCTTCAAGTCCCAGACGCACTTTGTTAGAGATTCAGGATTATCTGCACATTGCACCTACCATCAAATACCTCTATATATTACCTGTCAGGTTCAGCCCTTTTAATTTTTGTCCATTACATTTGGCCCGGCCCCTAGGTTTTTAATTGCGTCACGGTGTCATTGTTTTACTGTTTTATTGTTTTGTTTGATGTTTTATTATTTGCTTATGAGTTTTACTGTGTATTGTATGTTATTGTTGTTGGCAGCCTCAGCCTTTGTAAGCCGCATCGAGTCCTTCGGGAGATTTTGCGGGGTATAAATAAAGTTAATAATAATAATAAGTAATCCCAGAGCCACGATTAGGGATCTGCAGTCTGGTTGTCCCCCACCAACCTCTGAGGATGCTTGCCATAGATGCAAGCGAAACATTAGGAGAGAATGCTTCTAGAACATGGTCATATAGCCTAAAAAACCTACAACAACCCAATAATAAAGACCTTGGCCTGCATTTAAACACAATCGGTGCTGACAAAATCACCACCAGTCAGCTGCAAAAGGCCGCCCTACTGGGATCTTCAGGCATTATTCGCCGATACATCACACAGTCCTAGACACTTAGGAAGTGCCCGACGTGGGATCCAATACAACAACCAGCATAGTGATCTTGTCTGCTGTGGACTCATCTTGTTGTGTTTCAAATAATAATAATAACAATAACAATAATAACAATAATAATAATAATATAATAATAATAATATAATAATAGATTGGTGTGAACTTGGCTTAGGCTTTTAAGTGGACCGTGATAGAAATAATGATAACTATTATTTTTATTACCATTATAAAAGCAGACAGGCACATTCTCTGCTGAGATATAAAGGCTGAAGCAGGTATCCACTCACTTCTGAACATGCCTATCGTTTACTCTCAAATTTGTCATTCTTTCTCTTCTCAAAGTAGATTATTGCCATTCTTAGAAGCAAAATTATGCAGGGATTCTAACCCAGATCCATAACAGCAAAACAATGCCTCGGGTTTTGCAACGTAACCATCTCTGCTTTCAATAACTTTAATGTTTACCACAGTTAATACCTTCTAGAGCAGTGGTTCTCAAACTTGGATCCCCAGATGTTTTTGGCCTACAGTTCCCAGAAATCCTAATAGCTGGTGAACTAGCTGGGATTTCGGGGAGTTGTAGGCCAAAAACATCTGGGGACCCAAGGTTGAGAAGCACTGTTCTAGAGGTAAAGTGGGCAATGAATGACGCAACGGAAGAGCTCCTTTTGCCCCCCAGTCCAAGGTGTAAACTCCACCAGGCCTTACCTGTGGTTCTGATGGCTTCTACTGACTTTCCTTTATACTTATCAAACAGGCTGAGCGTGGAGTACTTGCTTTTCCCATCCTTTCCCTTGGTTATTTGCCCCAAACGATCGGACATTGCGATGAAATGTCATCGAGTAAGGAAATTCTCTGCGCCGCTTCCCGATCTGCCTGTCGGGGACATTTAAGAAGCACATTCAAAAGAGTGTTTCGTACAGTTAAAACTCAAGACCACCACCGCCACAAAACCCAAACTCATTGCAAATATCAAAGAGAAAACTCCCGGGAACTTAACTGAAACACTTCCAGGAAAATAGGAAGCACCTGTGGTCGCAAAACCAGCTTTGTTTGACATCAAACTTTGCACACTTTATCAAATGGAATTTTAAAAAATCATAGAGTTGGAAAAGACCTCATGGGCCTCCCTGTCCAACCCGCTGCCAAGAAGTACGAAAATTGCATTCAAGGCACCCCCGACAAATGGCCATCCAGCTTTTGTTTAAAAGCCTCCAAAGAAGGAGCCTCCGCCACACTCCAGGGCAGAGAGTTCCACTGCTGAACAGCTCTCACAGTCAGGAAGTTCTTCCTCATGTTCAGATGGATGAATTACAGATGAAAACACAGAGAAGTCTACTCAGCATGAAAAGGCAAACTTGTGACCAAGTTTGGTCGCCTTGGTGGATGACCTCCGCAGGGAGCTGGACAGGGGGAGCGTGACCCTGCTGGTTCTCTTGGACATTTCAGTGGCTTTCAATACCATCTGGGACGACTCTCCGGGATGGGTCTTGGAGGCATGGTTTTGTCGTGGCTCCAGTCCTTCCTGGAGGACCGTTCCCAGATGGTGAAGCTGGGAGACGCCTGCTCGAACCCCTGGCCTTTGACCTGTGGGGTCCCGCAAGGCTCCATTCTGTCTCCCATGCTTTTTAACATCTACATCAAACCGCTGGGAGAGGTCATCCGGAGTTTTGGAGTTGGGTGCCAGCTCTACACAGATGACACGCAACTCTACTACTCTTTTCCACCTAATTCCAAGGAATTAGCGTGAGCTTCCGTTGTCAGTTCCAGGTTCTGACAACCTAGCAGTTCAAAAACATGCAAATGTGAGTAGAACAATAGGTACCGCTCTGGTGGGAAGGTAACAGCGCTCCATGCAGTCATGCCGGCCACATGACCTTGGAGGTGTCTATGGACAACGCAGGCTCTTTGGCTTAGAAATGGAAATGAGCACCACACCCCAGAGTCGGACACGACTGGACTTAATGTCAGGGGAAAACCTTTACCTTACAGAGTTCACTTACCTCCGGAAGGCTCTGTGAACCCAGAAGAGGGAACAAGCTTGTTTTCTGCTGCCCTGGAGTCTAGAACGCGGAACAATGGCTTCAAACTACAGGAAAGGAGACTCCACCTGAACATTAGGAAGAACTTCCTGACTGTGAGAGCTGTTCAGCAGTGGAACTCTCTGCCCCAGAGTGTGGTGGAGGCTCCTTCTTTGCAGGCTTTTAAACAGAGGCTGGATGGCCATTTGTTGCTTTGAATGCAATTTTTCCTACTTCTTGGCAGAAAAACTGGCCCATGAGGTTTCTTCCAACTCTATGATTCTATTCTATGGACCAAATTTGGCACAAATAACTGATATTTGCTGCCAAAGGGATTCCTAAGACTATCGGAAATATGTGTTTTCTGATGGTTTTTGGTGACCCCTCTGAAATCCCCTCGCTACCCCCCCAGGGGTCCTGACCCTCAGGTTGAGAAATGCTGGTGTAAATGGACACCCCAGCCACACACATCTATATAAATAAAAATGTAATGTTCATTTGTGGAATTAACATAACACAAAAACCATTGGGTCAATTGACACAAAATTTGGACACAATACACCTATCAGGCCAACAAGTGACCATTACTCATAAAAACACAGCAAAAGGGACTTAAAAAGTCAAAAATAAAAAATACATTATAATGCATGTGCAAAACCACATATATACACATAAACATATATGTGTGTGTGTGTGTCATGATAAAATAAGCTGTATGGTTTGAGATTGTACGAAAGGCGTATGAATGCGGCCCAATTGGGCTGAAGATACCATTCTAAGGAATGAGGCCTGGAAAACTACAAGACAGCAGAGAAGAACTAATAGACTAATTAAAAATTGCTGATGAGATTTGAGACAAATGATTAACTGTTCACATTCTGACTTGATTAACTCTTGGTGGAAAAACAACTTGTTTACATTGCCAAGGACAATGGGTCTTTTAAGTAAGGAAGTTAACACTGTGGCTCCTTACAGAAATGTTTACAAGCTTCCTTGATAAGGAAAGCCAATTAAACAAAATCAACATCTGTCCGGGAACTGATGGAATCTGTCTGGCAGTAATTTACAACTTTCAGAACCACATCAACAGAAAATACTACATAAAAGGACCCTTCTCTCTCAGAGTGTGTGTGTCAGACCAACTGAACACCATTTCTGAACACCATCGTGAACAGCCATCTCCTCTCAAGAAGCTGATCATCTTCAGCAAGAAGAATGGTAAGAATACTTGATGAATGAATGAATGATTGAATGTTAGAGTATATGTGTAAATGTTGATGCAATATTCCCCTTTGTCTATGTAACCAATATAATAATTATAAGACCCAGTACTGGCGTCTGTGTCTACTTTTTCTCTGAAAGTGCCTAATACAACCTTTCTCACTAAAAGCGGAATAAAAGAACCTATTTAATGTTTTTAAAAGTCCTTATAACATATTCACACAAAACACATATACACAGACTGGGCCACAGCAACACGTGGCAGGGGATGGCTAGTAAATAAATATTTTCACTTTTATTATGTGTATAGATATGGTTACTGGACTAATCAATAAACAGCTCCATCTATCTATCTATGTTTTCTCAAATAGACCTCACAACCTTAGTGTGATACAAAGTGCTCTCAGGCCTAATTATAATATTTCTTATGCTTTAGGAAATATAATGATAATCATCATCAGTAATAGTAGGACCCACGCGATCTCTTCGATCATCTGGAGAGGCCCTGCTCAGGCTCCCGTCTCCTTCGCAGGCGTGATTGGTGGGGACGAGGGAGAGGGCCTTCTCGGTGGTGGCCCCCCCGACTCTGGAACTCACTTCTCAAAGACATCAGGCATGCCCCAACATTGGTAGTCTTTAGGAGGAGCCTGAAAATGTGGCTGTTCCAGTGTGCTTTCCCAGAATAAGGAAAATTCCCAGCAATATGGCTTCAGAATGCAATTTACTACTGGTTTAGGATTGACTGCGCTCCCTCATCTCTTTTAAAACCCTATACCAGATATAACCTACCTCGTTCATGCCCAGCGTTTATTTTTTAAAATTTTAAACTATTACATTTTGCCCGGCCACAGGTTTTTAAATCCTTGTGTGTTACTGTTTATTGTTTATATGTGATTATACAAATTGTATTATATTGTATATAAAATGTTGATTGCTTTTTGTTTTTATTGATGTGTTGTTAGTCTTGGCCTCATGTAAGCCACTCCAAGTCCCTTGGGGAGATGGTGGCGGGGTATAAATAAAGATGATGATGATGATGATGATGATGGTTATTATTATTATTATCACACCACTTCAGAAAAGGCAAAAGCTGCACATCGCAAGTGTTGAACCTGACTCAGCACATACAAGACGGTTTTGAAAGGCAGCAGATCACAGGAGCTGTCTTCATAGACCTGTCAGCAGCCTATGATACTGTGAACCACTGCCTCCTCCTGAGAAAAATGTATAATATCACAAAGGACGATCACCTCACCCCCTCATAGGAAACCTGCTACAAAACAGGAGCTTTTTTGTTGAGTTCCAGGGCCAGAGAAGCAGATGGCGGAAACAGAAGAATGACCTGCCTCAGGGGAGCGTGCTTGCTCCATCCATGTTCAACATCTACACAAATGACCAGCCACTGCCAGAAGGGACAGAGAGTTTCATCTATGCTGATGATCGTGCCATTACTGCTCAAGCAGGGAGCTTTGAGATGGTAGAACAGAAGCTCTCCGAAGCTCTAGGTGCTCTTACTGCCTATTACAGGGAAAACCAGCTGATCCCTAACCCATCTAAAACACAGACATGTGCCTTTCTCAAGAACAGACAAGCATCCCGAGCTCTGAGGATCACCTGGGAAGGAATCCCACTGGAGCATTGCAGCGCACCCAAATACCTGGGAGTCACTCTGGAACGTGCCCTGACCTACAAGAAGCACTGCCTGAACATCAAGCAAAAAGTGGGTGCTAGAAACAATATCATACGAAAGCTGACTGGCACAACCTGGGGATCACAACCAGATACAGTGAAGACATCTGCCCTTGCGCTGTGCTACTGTGCTGCTGAGTATGCATGCCCAGTGTGGAACACATCTCACCACACTAAAACAGTGGATGTGGCTCTTAATGAGACATGCCGCATTATCACGGGGTGTCGTCGCCCTACACCACTGGAGAAATTACACTGCTTAGCCGGTATTGCACCACCTGACATCCGCCGGGAAGTAGCAGCCAATAGTGAAAGGACCAAGGCAGAGACATCTCCAGCTCATCCCCTGTTTGGGTATCAGCCAGCACGTCAACGACTTAAATCAAGAAATAGTTTTCTAAGATCTACAGAGACACTCGCCGGAATACCTCAGCAAGCGAGAGTCCAAAAGTGGCAGGCTCAAACCCAGAACCTCAACCAATGGCTGATACCAAATGAGAGACTCCCCCCTGGGCACACAGAGGACTGGTGACTTGGAAGGCGCTGAACAGACTGCGCTCTGGCACCACAAGATGCAGAGCCAATCTTCAGAAATGGGGCCACAAAGTGGAATCCATGACATGCGAGTGTGGAGAGGAGCAAACCACTGACCACCTGCTGCAATGCAACCTGAGCTCTGCCACATGCACAATGGAGGACCTTTTTGCAGCAACACCAGAAGCACTCCAAGTGGCCAGATACTGGTCAAAGGACATTTAATCAGCCAGCAAACTCACAAATTTTGTATTTTTCTGGGTTTTTTTGCTTTGTTCTGTTAGAAATGGTTGCACTGACACAAATAAAATAATAAAATAAATAAATCATACCACTTTTCTCCCAAAATGCCTCTCAAGCTCAAAAACACCATATCTGTTCTAATGTGCACCTCAATTTTCAAACCCCTGA